CAGCACCTCAACAATTAACAACACATACTCTCGTGTACTATACATACAAAATAAAGGAGAATCCAAAAGAAACCTTTGTCACGTGCTGTTTTGGTGTCGATGTAAGTGAAATATGCGCTTGGCGATCAGCTGGGTTCATCGTGTCATCATGTGACGTGGTGGTAAAGAGTTTGACTGCAACTTTTCTGCAGCTTCAAAGCCAGCAGAAGCCCACTTGCTTGTTGACAGAAATGTTCTTGTGATGTGTGAGGAGCAACAGGACACGGCGATGCTACATTGGGCCCCTTTGATGAATCATCGGCCAGCAGGTCATAACTCTAATTCCATTAGGTGGACATCTGCCCCCTGGAGTGTATCACAATGACTTGACACTGGGTTTGCCAAGGGGAATAAAATAAGTGTCTTGCCACACAACACTGTGAATGAAGCAGTATTCAACCGGACCAATAACGTGGAATTATGACGATCTGTCAAAGAAGTCTGTCAGAACTGAATTGTTATTATTATTTTGTCTTTTTGATGGATAGATGAGGCATACAGAATGTCTGTAACACCTTGTTTTGCATTGAGCGGGTTGGGAAGTATGTCCTCCAGCTCCGGTACACTGATGCAATGTTTATTTAAGTCATCAGTCACATCTGGCAGTGATGGCCGGCGTGTTAGCAGGGATCACAAAAGGAAGCCTGCAGGACGAATGGTGCAATAGTCAGCTGGACCCCCCACAGCGACACAGGTTATTGTGCCATGCCTCCTCTTGTGTGTGCCGACGCCATATGTTCTTACTCAAGATAATTTCATTTAGAACAGAAGCACAAGTTCTTACTCACTGGTGACGCTGGCACCTGTAACCATAGTAACTGCCATACGAGTTTTAACCACACACTGATAAGAAGAAACACAACGGCTGTAAACGTGAAGCCAAAGAGTCTTGATCACTGGATGCAGCAGGTCATAAACGCTGCCTCCTTTAGTCAAGCTAAATGCTAATGGGCTACGACACTGATAGCAGGGGGTCCCATGCAAGGGGCCCATCTAACCAAGCACACCCATTCAAATATTCCCCAATTCTCCCACAGATTGTTGTTGGCGGTAGTTCTTATCATAGTGATCTCAAGTGGTCATGATTCTGTTTTAATGAGTTCCTTGATGCTATGAAAAATGTCTGAGGCGTAACGATTCACAGTAAATCCTTGTTTAAAACGTGCGTTAGTGAACTCTCGGCCACTTGGGAGCGAGTTTGAAGTGGCATCCCGGCGTGCCCCGTCTCACGCCCACTCTAGAAAGCCAAATGCTGTGGATCCACAGGTGTGCCGGCCAATGGAGCATGGCACATCTGCTGATGTCCATGGACCCAATTTGAAAACTCCACACTCCAGTACGCCAGCCGTCACAGGTATCAGTGTACACATTACATTACATTACATTATTACATTACATGTCATTTAGCAGACGCTTTTATCCAAAGCAACGTACAATAAGTGCATTCAACCATACACGAATGTGTCCCTCGCTGGATGCACAAACTGCGTGGAGCTCTGAGCCTCAGAGGGATGGCATCTCTGTGCCCATCAGGTTGTCTCTGTAAGACGTGTGTCAATCCTCATTTTGTGCTACAACACCACGGGGCGTCTTTAGCATGGTCCATGCGGTGTGCCTCATCAGGACTAAGATGTTATTCAATCAAACTTTCCTCGTTGGATTTGACAGTCAGTTGTTGACTACAAACAGACGTTAATACAACTGCCAGGCTACTGGGACTACTGGGACTACTGGGACTACTGGGACTACTGGGACTATTGGGACTACTGGGACTACTGGGACTACTGGGACTACTGGGACTACTGGGACTATTGGGACTACTGGGACTATTGGGACTATTGGGACTACTGGGACTACTGGGACTACTGGAACTACGGGACTACTGGACTACGGGGATCCGGCACTTGAAACTGGATACGGGAATACGGGTACATGAATTCTTCTCCTCTTTCATATTGTCAGCTACAGAAAGCTTTCTACCTCTTAAACTTAAATCAATATAAACTTTTTTAACATTGTTTTCCAAGGAGGCTTATCAAAATCCTCCATCAAAAATGTTCAAATTTCAAATGTTTGTTGTTCCTCAATCTTTCATCTACAGCCGTCCTTCAATCTGTGAAAATGTTGACAAGAGCCCAAACTATTTTTTTTATCAGCTTTTTGATGTCCATTCAACTTTTTCAATATCACTAACAGCCCTGCAAGTTGGTAACGCCTCATCAAGCCGGTCGCCATCCTAGGCCGGCCCCCGGCGCTCTCGGGGCGGTGAGGACGCTGATGAGGACCCGCCGTGCTCGTTGGTTACCCAGGCAGCTGTAACCGCGTCTTTACGGAGCAGAATCAGGTCAAACGTTTTGATCATTTGAAAAACAAATGTGAACCTGAAAGTTTTGTTGTTGAACATTGAAAAATAATACAATGACACGCCCCTCCCAGTTGATGCCCCGCCCCCTACGCCACATCAGGGTCAAAAGTCTGAATGCGAGAGATTTGAAAGTGAAAAATTACGATTTGAACTCAAAAAGATAAAATCTCCCAAAATACAGTACAGCGGATATAAAGCGTCCGAGTATTACAGTGATCAATGAGGCGACAGATAAGTGACATCATTAGTGATTAATATTGTATTTAATATCTATAATACAGTGATCAATGAGGCGACAGATAAGTGACATCATTAGTGATTAATATTGTATTTAATATCTATAATACAGTGATCAATGAGGCGACAGATAAGTGACATCATTAGTGATTAATATTGTATTTAATATCTATAATACAGTGATCAATGAGGCGACAGATAAGTGACATCATTAGTGATTAATATTGTATTTAATATCTATAATACAGTGATCAATGAGGCGACAGATAAGTGACATCATTAGTGATTAATATTGTATTTAATATCTATAATACAGTGATCAATGAGGCGACAGATAAGGGACATCATTAGTGATTAATATTGTATTTAATATCTATAATACAGTGATCAATGAGGCGACAGATAAGTGACATCATTAGTGATTAATATTGTATTTAATATCTATAATACAGTGATCAATGAGGCGACAGATAAGTGACATCATTAGTGATTAATATTGTATTTAATATCTATAATACAGTGATCAATGAGGCGACAGATAAGTGACATCATTAGTGATTAATATTGTATTTAATATCTATAATACAGTGATCAATGAGGCTCCAGCTGAACTCTTTATCAAACTATGAAATGAATAGAAACAGTTCCAGCATATGAAAAAGCAGCTGACCCCACATGAAAGATCTTACAGGGCAGAATCCAATCATTTGGGAAATATGTTATAATATCCTATTTATTGATTAATTTGTGTTATTTATTATCATTACAATCCAGTAAGTCCCTTTGAAGCTGACGTCCTGCTGCTGGTCCTCGCATCCTTTAATTCAAACATTGTTAGAGTTAATGCACAATGACAGTACAACAAACCTGCACACTGGATGAAGACCAGACGTTAAAGTCCACTTTAAACATTAAGTTCTGAATCGCTCATGATGTCCACCTTAGTTGTCCGGTTTCAAAAGCTCGCATCGCCTGATCAAACCGATCAAACCGATCAAACCGATCAAACCGATCAAACTGATCAAACCGATCAAACCGATCAAACTGATCAAACCGATCAAACCGATCAAACTGATCAAACCGATCAAACCGATCAAACTGATCATTTGTGGAATTCTCTGGGATTTTTCAGCGATCGCCACCGAGATAAAAGCTGAAATGTCAACTAACGTTCCCGCTAAATCTAACCTGCTGCTTTGAGTCGGCAGTGATACGGAACGCTCGGGCCAAGGTCAACCGGTGCCGTACATTATGCTGAATATCGCACCCCATGACTCACTCTCAACCAATCAGACCGCTGGATTCCATCTACCCGTATTATAAATATACATATGAGTTACATGAACGCGTGGAGGTCTGACGTCCCTTTAACTACATCATCCCAAATGGTTCTAAGTCCTAAAATTACTTTCCCTGACTTAAACTAACTACTTTAACTGTAACTTGAAGCTGATAAGTACTTTTATATTTATATTCATCTGTCGTTGTTTCCTGTGCTGAGGTGAAATGCATTCTGGGATGTCTGGCGGCTCCGATGTCTGCTCAGTCAGATGGTATTATGAGCGTTCTCAGCGAGATGCACACTTCACATTTGGACCAGTACTCGGCTGCGACTGATGACATTTCACGAGTCCACACAACGCATATTTGACGACGACCTTTGACCTGTACAGCTGTTGTTGCACCAATACCTGATTGTGTCATGATGTGTTGCATGTTTTTAAAATATAACGTTATACAACCAGACACAAGGAAGCTTGATGTTCATGGCTTTACCGTCCGCACACATCTTCTCTCCAAGAGTTGAGTCCTTCAGGACGTGTTGGTTCCCAGGATGTTCTCCTGCATCCCACAGCATTTTATAGCTCATGATCATTGTGTACAATACGCACCCATTACAGCTCAGAAGAGATGTCGTCCATAGTTATCCTATCCAAAAGATCTTTGGCAACCATTTTAAAGTTTAGAAGGATGAAACGTCGTAGCCGGTTTGTCCTTAAAACGCTGAATATGCTGATGGCTCGAGTGTTTCTGTAGCTTAGAAGATGCAGGAAGAGAAAGGTGCCAAAATACAGTAAGTTTAACAACCATATACGGAAAACAACTGTTGTATTCCACAAAAAACATCGAGCTGTTTCTTGGTTGTTTCGAGCCAGTTGACTCTTTTGGACTTCTCGTCTCTTGCCGCTGTCGGTCAGCACATTCAAAAAATGAAGAAAACCAGTTATCACATATGGACATTTCATAATGTCATGTCTACTTCACAGCCAACTCCAGCTGTGTCCACTAGAAGACTATACATCACTGGGATCCGAACGGCAGACTTGTTGAAACATAACGCAGATGCAGATGCAGAAAGTTGACTTCATTTAACAGACTTTATTTCATAAATAATTATGCAAGTCAATGAATACACGAATGAATGATATTTTTTAATCCTCATAACTGAGATGACACTAGCAGAGTCCAGGGTAGTTCTTCATACTGCTAATGGACATGTGATGGACAACTGTCCGTTTCAACACGCTTCCTGTGCTACGGAGGTGGACCTGCACACGGGACCCTGCTGAGGAGAGCAGACTAGTTGAGCCCACACTAACAATAATAACTAATAATAACATGCGGAGGATGGTTTTACACTGAAGACGAGGTATTACAGATGTTGTCTAACAAGCTCACTCTGTACTACTCGAAGAAATGGGGCAAGAGGGGAGGGAGGAACATCCTGAACATGAAGCAGGCTACTCTCTTTTTTCACTTCTCATCTACGGTCTTGCCTACAGCTAGAACATGGGAGTCAGGAGGGTTTGAGGATAAGGTTGATGGAGGCCGTGGATCAGCTAGCCCCTGGACTCCAGAGATCTGCAAGAAGATAGACAGAGAATTAGGCTGCATGCCAGTAAACCACCGGGGCCTCAAAAACACACATTTTCTTTTCAGATGGTGAAAAGTGGAACAAAGAAGGTAGGTTGTCCTTATTGAATGCTTTAGTCTGAAACAATGTTTGTGTCGACGCCCACCCTGCACACCCCGCGTTTGTCCTACTAAACACAACAAGGACATTTTTGGAGGCTGAAATTTCCCTGTAACTTATTTTAGACCCTGGTTCCTAAAGTCAAAATGCAATGATCGCCCCAAGGTGATCCACCCTCTGGATGATCCCGCCAAGCTACGCTACGTATGCCGCCCCCCCCACTTCATTCCCAGATGGAGTTTGGAGAATGTGTCCTTTGATTTGCGACGCTGGTGACTCACGAGTAGCTGGTGTGCTGCTGTCGTCTTCGGGCGCTCCTCATCTTTTCAAAGCGAGCCTCCATTTCCTCCAGGACTTTAGGGGTGTAGCGGACCACCAGCTTGACCGAACCCTGGGCGGCTTTCAGCAGCTCCACGGCCTTCTCGTGGTGCTCCCCCTCCACGCTCTGCAGGCACACACGAGAGTCTCAGACCACGTGCTGTGGGGCCAAAGGTCGGCTGGGCACCATTCCAACGTGCTTTACACTCTCTTATGTACCTTTTTCCTTACTTAAGTTCATTTGGGTGAACTGAACTTGACGTGCCACCTTTGACCCCTTGGCAGGGATCTTTAATACATGTTAACAATCAATTCAATACCCATCACAGGGAGGTTTATAAGTAAATCTCATTTTGATTGTCAGTTGTTCCATGTGTGAAGCTGCCAGCCGCACAGACCAGTGATACCGCTTTAAAAGGGTAAAGACGATGTGTGACTTCAGCCCAACACGGCTCAGCTGCACTGTGACTGCTGTGTGTGATGTTCGTTACTGGCGGGCAGGTGGCTCCTGTCATCAGGGTGTGAATGGGTGAACGGGGACATGAACTGTTACATGGACAGTCCATTTAGCGCCTTTAAAAACCGTGTGTACCAAGTGCTCTACAGAGACGCAAAGCACAACTATACATAACGTTGATACAAATAATACAGGAGGCAAAAGAATCCATGTCTTCTATTTTATACTGTAGATTTAAATTGTACATTTGTAAATTGAACATGTCATTTTTCCTGCACTGTGTTATTTGTCCTGTTGTCCATTGTTTCATTGTGTTATTGTCCAATGTTATGCACGTCCAACATACTTTGGCAATAAATGTTCCTGATTCCAAAACCATAAGTGCAAAACAAATTGATATAATAAAACAACGAGCCTCTTATCCGTCAGAAGGGAACCGTCACCATTCCACACATTCCTGGTCATTACCTGCACTGATTGGAGTCCGACTCAATGACATTAAATCTGTACATTTCTGTATGCGTGGTGACCCAACGGCATTTGTTTTCCAATGGCAGGCGATCTACTGCCATGGCGATCGAACACGATATATATATATATATATATCATATACTGGGTACCCCTGATATACAGCATCAAAAGCTGCACTTGTCTAAAACAGTGCCCCCGTCTGCTAATAGAAGGTCATTAGGTACCTTTGGGGCAGTTTCGGTGCTATGAAGTTGCTCTAAAGCGTCATTATGATTAATGAAAGTTAAGAGTTGTGCGGAAACCAGTTTTTCTAAAACTTTTGATAGAATTGGAAGCAACAGAACGATGGAGCGTAGGTTTCTTTAAAAAGTGTTGGACCATTGCTTGTTTAAAGATGGATGGGAAAGAATGGTAAGAAGCAATTTACAATCAATAATAAAACTTGGAATCAACAGAGTTTGGGGAAAAGTGAACATCTGCAGTAGATTTCTTCAAAAATCATCAACATCATTTTAGGGAATTTTCCATTTGATTTCATTTTTAAAAGCTGTCATTAAAATAAACTTCTTACCACTCCGTTGACGGACAGCAGCTGGTCTCCTCTCTTCAGGCCTCCCTGGCGGTCGGCCACCCCCCCCGGGATCACTCTGGAGATGTAGATGGGGGAGTTTTGCTCTTTGCCCCCCATGATGTTGAAGCCCAGACCCTCTTCTGTCTTTGGCAGCTCCACCACCCTCGGGTGTGCGTGGCCCTCGCTGGCTGCAAAGGCCGCCACCGTGGCCTGTTCAGGGGCCGACAGTCACATGAACATTGAAATAGGTTTGACCTTCTCGAATGGTCACGTAAATACGACGTTTTGGTAGTTTGACAGGTCTCCAAAGGTCAGTTCAGAAAATCCTCCTGATTTGAAGAAAGGAATCATTGTCCCAAGCTACAAGTGTTTCAATGTACAAATGGGTACATGAGTGTTACTTTATGACAAAACATTTCAAACTCTATTAATTAAGAACTCTAGTGGAAATTAGCATCCCCAGAGCGTTTAAATGAATTTAATCCTCATCTCACCCCCCGATTCAACCGACCGAGCACCTTTGCCGTTTGTGCTACTGGATGAAAATAGCAGGTCTATGAATGACCTCTCTACACGTGTTCATTGGAAACAGGACCGAACGTCTCTCATACAATCGATTTTGTGCAATAGTGAAGTCGTGGTTAGTCGTTAGTTTGCGTGCAACACCTTGGCAGTTGCCTGCGCTCGCACCTCCGGTCCTCCGACGATGTCCAGAGTGTCATACAGCTGCTCATAAACCTGAGGGCAGAGAACGAGAACAAAATATTACACAAAAAAGACGCTTGGTTTATTATTCATTTACACCAAAATTTCTACAATTGATGTTTGCATGAATAGAATTCTGAAATGAGTGTGTAGCTCCTCTATTTAAAGCGTGCAGTGAGCAGGATGTGGCTGCATGGAGCTGTAAACCGAGCTGAATGACTCCCTGTGTCCCGTTGTCTCCAAGTAGGAGACAGACAGGCCTTTCTGGAGCCTTCCAGGGTTGTCCCTTCTGGGCTACTGTAGCAACATGGCGGCTTGCTCTGAGCAGGAACCCCGTATTGAAATACAGACTACCGGATTCATTTGGTAGAATTATGGAAATGGTTTTAAAAAGTAGGCTGGGGGCCAGAGCCTTCAGTTATCACGCTCCTCTTTTGTGGAACCAGGTTCCACTTTCAGTCCGGGGGGCAGATTCGGTCAGCTCTTTTAAAGTAAAACTTAAAACGTTCCTCTTTGATTCTGCCTATAGTTAGGGCTGGCTCAGGTTAGCCCGGACCAGCCCTTAGTTAAGCTGCTATAGGCTTAGACTGCCGGGGGACTTCTTAGGACACATCGAGCTCCTCTCTCACGCTCTCGTTCTACCATAATTCAAGTTTTATTAATGCACATGACGAATTCAGCCTCTTTCCCAGAGTTTTTTGTGCTTTCTCTCCTATCAGGTCTCCGTAGATCGTGGTTCCTTCTGGACCCTGGTGGCTGACGGTGGTTCTATGTGATAGTGGTTCTATGTGACGGTGGTTCTATGTGACGGTGGTTCTATGTGATGGTTGTTCTATGTGATGGTGGTTCTATGTTATGGTGGTTCTATGTGACGGTGGTTCTATGTGACGGTGGTTCTATGTGACGGTGGTTCTATGTGATGGTGGTTCTATGTGATGGTGGTTCTATGTGGTGGTGGTTCTATGTGGTGGTGGTGGTCCCTGCAGTGGTCCTGCTGTGCGTCTGGTTTACTACTCACAATTACTTGAATCATTTCTGTCATATAGTCTCATGTATTATACATTGTTCATTCTGTACACATGACATCATTGTAGTCGTCCATCAGGAGACGGACCCTCCTCTGACGTTCTCCCTGAGGTTTCTTCCCTCTTTTCCCTCTTGGAAGGGTTTTTTCATTTCCTGTGCCGATGGAGGGTTTCGGGACAGAGGATGTCGTATGTGTACAGACTGTAAAGCCCTCTGAGGCAAATTTGTAATTTGCGATTATGGGCTCTACTAAATAAAATGAATTGAATTGTTTAAGAAACATACATCAGCTGCCCGTCAACAAACCCAAATGTCTCCCAGCGTCCTCTGGGACCGACTCACCGACCCACTGATGCTGACAGTGGTGTGGGGGAGTAACGGAGGGGAGTGCATGCAGGACACACGGTTCTGTACAAACGCCAGTAGTTCCGACTCCTCGCGCACATCCGCACCTCTCTGATGGCAGCACAGAACTTGCTCTGCAGAACTCTCTGCAGGGCCTGAAGTTTGGGGGGAGGAAGCTCTCCGCTCCGCTGCAGCCGGTCCAGCAGCTCGATCACCCTGCACACATCTAACACACACACACACACACACACACACACACACACACGCGGGATTAGCGACGGGTCACTGTGGGCGATGAGGAATAAACCTCAGCCCATGAAGGGTGATTTGGTTTTATTTCAGCTCTTTGTGCAGAGCGCTGCGCATGCGTAGAACGCGCGAGGCCTTCGCGTGCTGACGGCCGTCTGCGGAGCGTCTCGAGCAGCAGCGGCTCCATTGGCCGTCCGCCGACGCATCGAGTCCCTCAATCCCCCCGCGCCGCCTCCCGTCAGGCGGCGGCGATGGAGGAGACGCCTCGCGAGGCGCTTCCACCGCCGCCCCGGTGGATCCGCGCCGCGTCCTTACCTCTCTCCAGGCACAGCGGCTCCGCCAGCGCCGCCATGTCCGCGTCCTTGGCTGGGTGGTAGTAGGACATCATGGCGCGATCCTCCGCGTCCAGGGTGGAGGCCTGTTCAGCGGTTACAGCAGCTGCGATGCGGGCTCCATCCCCACGACGCGCGACGCAGCGGCTGATGCGCTACGCAACGCGCTACGTCACACCTCCACCCCCACGAGTCCTCAATGTACAGATTCATCACCGTTATTCAGGAGGGCGGATGAAAAGCCGGAATCAGCGGGAAGCTGCACACGTTACTCCACCCAGCCGGTGGTGCACATCCACCCGTGTGACGACTCACACAAATAGGAACATACGCAGCGGGGTTCTGGCTTCAAGCCACATCTTTATTAAAATGAACTTGCAAATCTAACATACAAACAGCAGACAATTAAAAAAAAAATCATTCCAGAATGAATAAACAGAACAGCCCTCAATTGTCTCACAACACTTCACCTCCATCTTGCACACACACGGGGGATATTTGTCCAATGAGTAGAAACCGGTTGTATTCTAAGAAGGAACAGCGCGAGCGTTTCTACAGTTGGGACCAAAGCGAGGAAAAGAAAAGGGGAACATCTACGTGAGGACGAAGCAGACCGAATGAGTTGAGCGTGCGGCAGGATGGAGGCTTGTGATGACCACCATGCGGGCGTCCTGCGTTCTAGTATCGATGGGGGACGCCTCAGTACTCGTCTCCCGGGGCCTCCATCTTGTAGCCATTTTCACTGGAGACGTAGCCGTCGGCCGACGGCACCGACTGCTGGTCCATCATGCCGTCCTGACTGTACTCCTCCATGTGCGGAGGCGCCGCTCCCTCCTCCTCGTTGGCCATTTCATCTTGAGGCCCCGCGTCGTCTCGTTGGGAGGCGTGGCGCTCCTCCCTGCGCTCCCCCCTGTCCCTGTCCCCCCGCTCCCTCTTATGCTCCCTGTCCCTGTCCCGGTCCCCCCTGCGCCTCTCCCTGTCCCTGTGGCTCCGCCTGCGCTCCCTGTCTCGGTCCCTGTCCCTGCGCTCCTCCGTGCCTTCGCCCACTTCTCCTTCGTTGTCCTCCAGGACGCGCTCACCGCCTTCAGGGGCGGCGTCCGCCCCATGGCCGACCTCCTCCCCCTCCGGCGCCTTGCCTCCTCTCTCCCGCTCCCTCTTGCGGTCCCTGCTCCTGCTCCTCCTCTTTCGCTCTCGACTCCTCTCCCTACTCCTGCTGTCTCCTCCTGCAGCCACCCCGCGCTCCTTCTCCCGCTCTCGACGCCGGCCGCCACTAGCACCGACCTCCTCTCCTCCTCCTCCTCCTCCCCCCCCTCCTCCTCCTCCAATCGGCCTCTCTCTCTCCCTCTCTCGCTCCCGGGATCGAGTACGGCGACGGCGCTCGCGGGATCGGGGTGATCGGGTCCGTCGGCGCTCCCTTTCCTTGTCTTTGTCCTTGTCCTTGTCCCGGTCGCGTTCGCGGCTGCGCTCCCTGCGCTCCCGCGGTTCCCGGGGCTCCCGCGGCTCCCGATCACTGGACAGTCGGGACAAAGTTCTGTTACACACTGCAGGACGCCACACGGGTGGCTCCAGGTGGCTCTGTCCCCAGGACTCACCCCACGATGGGACGCTCGTCATAACGCGAGGCATCGTCCCGGCCAGAGTGCTTAATGTTGACATCCGCTCCACCTCTTCTCGTGCCCCCCAGGCCGCCACCTGGTGGAGCAAAACAAGCATGAGATACAAGACAACACGGCAACAAGATCTGCTTCTACAGCTTGGGGCCGGTGTGCTACGTCAGTGTGCTAACGCTAACGGTGGCTGTGTTTCTCCTGCAGGCACCACGTTTGGGGAAAAGGACGTGTGGCTGGTACGAGGCTCGTCTATGTGTGAGAGCCCGATGAGGCAGTAAAGCGCCGTCAGCTGACAAACTGCGTGTCTAGCGGTCGGCGAGGTGTTGGGCCTGCGAGCCGACAGCAATGAGCCTGTTGGAACGTAACGAGGGGCAGCTGACCCAGTCTGCGAGGGTGCCATCCTTTCACGGTGCGTCCGCGTTCCACGTCAACCAGCACTCTCCTGCCGTCAATCTTCTTCCCGTCGGCGTGCTTGTAGGCGGCTGGAGAAGACGAGAGGGAAGAAAGAGGTGAGAAAGGAGCACGACTGCATCAATGTGGCCAAGGAAACAAACAGTGCATCGTTATACTGACCAGGAGCAGGCGAGGCCGAGATGGCTGCTCTCTGGGCAAAAGCCGAAGGATAATGGGAGCAGACTTCCTTCCACCCGATGGGTCATTCATATGTTACACTTTTAACTGCATCATCTCAAAAACCCTGCCTCCGTTTGTCTGAGGTACGAAGTATATTGTAGCCACCCCAGGTTGTTGCGAGGAGACTCACGCAGCCTTCAAACCGTTAGGACTCAGTTAGGAGCTAGTTTGTCTGCGTGGTTCAGACGCTCATCTACTGGAGCTCCACCAGTAAGGAGCACGTCTGCAGCGGCTGCTACGTTTCCAGCCGTGTCCCACGCCGCAGCGTGCTCGTGCATAATAGAGGAGGCGGTGGGAGGCAGGCGGCTGGTCCTGGCGCTACACCGACGATCGCGGACTAGAAGACGGTCTTACCAGAACCCGTCAGTGGAAGCAGTCTGAGGGCCTTACCAAGCCCCCACGTGCGCACCCTGGGGGCCTTACCAAACTCCCCCACTCGTACCCTCACACACGGGCCTTACTCTGCCCCGTCTGAGCCGTACCAAAAGCCCCCAGCACACCACGGCAGCGCCTCTCATCGGGGGCCTTACCAGAACCCCCCCACGCTCCTGCTTGGCTGAGGATGACAACATATCATCCACGATGGGGCCTTACCAAACCCCCACCAGTCCTACCAGAACTGACCAACTGGGGGGAAAAAAAAAGTACAAAAAAAAAAAAAAAAAAAGGGGCTTCCCTCCTTACAGAGGTTGACTTCTTACAACCCCCCCAAGCGATGAACAGACCCCCTGGCAGGCCTCAGATAGCAGGTCCAATGTCTACTGACACGAGACGCTAGCTTTGGGAATATGTGACCTTACTGTTATGATCAATGTGCTACTTTAGACTGGTCGCTACCTGAAGTTATGTAGTGAATCAAATATGTATGAATCGCCTAAAGAATTCCCCTCATCTGCCATTTCTATTAAAGCCAGCTCAGACTGCAGACCACCTCGCATCCATTGGAACACGTTTATATTAACTGCCGTTGCGCTCTGGAACAAAAAGATGGCGTGAAATTGACATCAAGTCGACCTTTGTTACTTTACTGAATATCGAGTGCAGCCTAACGAGAAAGAGACCACCGAGGTCCCAAATTACAACCCAAGACGACGTCTAATGTAATTTGGTAATCGTGTACTGCCCCACAGCATTCTTACCGCCTGCCCGGTGTTCGCTCTGCCAAAGGCACCAATAAGTGATCCCACGGTTAACAAGGAGTCAGCAGGTTGCAAACGTTGACAGGATTCCTCAGCCATTGAAATACCTGCTGACCTTTGTTCACACGCTCTGAAGCCGCTAAACATTGAGTCAATCTGCAGTGTTAATCATACGCGCCCCCGAGGCACTGGAGAGGAGCCTGAGGTGGCTTTGACAATGGGCAGAATCATTGGGCGACATGTTTTACACTAGTGGTCAGGGATGCGTTCAATGGTCAAAGCCCTAAATCCAAGTCGTGGTAATTGCACTAAAAGCTCTTTACGGCTTGCAAAAAAAAAAAAAAAGTCACGCTTTACCCATTGAACGTAGCTCCTCTTCCCTATGTAGGAGATGGAGGGTGGAAAGAAATCTTACCCATCATACAAACCCATTATACCAACCATATACTGAGCTGTGGTAGTAGGGTGTAGATGTATCATAACCATCATCATCTGCCAGCCAGCTCTGGCCAATAGCCATCACAGATTGGCGGCTGCAGTGGCAATGAGAACAACACACAGTTAATATAGCGTTTAGCCCCACATCCCCCCTCATCCACCCACCGCTGTGACTACAGAAGAGCCGATCACACTGACGTGCCAGAATGTGTCATTGCGTGAGGTGGCACCACTCATCGGTGTAAGGAGAGCACTGCGTTACTCGCAGGCGCTAGCGTGGTGCATGGAACTAATCAACATGACCGCGGTTGAAGACAACCGATAAACAAGCTCCATAGCTACGACCTACAAGAGGAGAAATGTCATTTCAGTGCTCGGCGACCAGTGTGACCTTGTGCTTACCATCACAGTCCGACCAGGAGAGCTGCTCTTCCAGAGCTACAGAGCCTAACTGATAAGAGACAATGTGCCACTTACAGGCAAAGATGTTCAGCTTCACACCTCAAACACGTCTACTTCCTGCTCCTCCCCCTTTCCCAGCATGCCCTACTGAATAGAGTGCTTTCCCTATGCAACCAGTCAGCTGATGACACGCACACACAGACACACACCAGACTGATTTCAACATTTAAAGCACTGATCTGTGGTTCATTAGGTTGTAATCACCTTCCTAAAGAGATTGCTGCCCCCCAGTATCGCACATAGAAGAAATGGACAGGGTTCAATAGAATAACCCCCCATGTCTTCATGAGCAATAGTGCGTTGATACTCACAGTGCATGTCCCGCTCATGCTCGTACTCGATGAACGCGTAGCCCCGGGGCTTCGCCGTCCTCTTGTTGTAGACGATATAAATCTGGAACAAAGCGGGACGGAGACATTAGTTTGTAGCAGCTAATACAAATTGGATATGCTCTTCCTACATGGGCCATTCCATCGCAGGACAGTGGGGACATTAGTCTTAAAATATCTGACACGTGGGACAGGAAGAACACGGACAATCAAAACAAACAGAGCGTGGGTCTACCCTTGTGTCAGGGTACTACGCTGTAAACAGGTCAGGACCACCAAGTGAAACCAGTACACGTACCCGCTTGATGGGGCCATAGACCTCAAACTCACGGCGAAGCTTGGACTCGGTGGTATCGTAGTTCTAGAGCAGAGAGCACCATCAGACACCGACAGAACAAGAATCTGCACACACCTCATTGGCTCGAACATACTCACCACTCGTGCAACAAACAGCGTTTTGAAGGCGTCCCCTTGTGCATTGGGGTCGTTGTGGGGGTCCCCTGAGATAACAGACACGCAGTTAGTTTAAGCAAACACACCAAACAGAAGAAAGCGCTGGGAAGCACCGAGGGCTTACAAAGCTTGAGTTCCGTCTCCACCACAGCTTGTCTCCTCTCAATCTTCTCTCGCCTCTGCAAAGATTAACAAGAGAGGTTGATCCTCTATGAGCGTTGAATCAAAGCGCTTGGGTCGCGTAGTTCTGCCTGGTTAGCGGGGAAGCTCGGGGAGTTCTAGTTAGATGGCGTCCGCTGGCCGAGTGCAGCTTATATTGGAGCAGTAGGGCGCGAGAGGCTGGACTTCCCCGCCCAGTAACGGGACAGCTCAGGGGGGCTGTTGTAACCCCCTGTTACATTATTGGAACATGCCGATACCAAGACCAGGGTCTCTACTTTGCTTAAGTCTACTATTCTTTTCCACAGGTTGGAAAATGAAACGTCAGGACCGAACGTGCCAATAGAGCAGAACACGGATGCGTGGGATCTCGTCTCAGCGATGAGGTGCTGAATGATGACAGCAGAGGACTGGCCACGCACGCGCGCGCACACACACACACACACACACACACACACACACACACACACACACAGTGAGGTTTTATTATTGAACCGTATAAATTCATGAGTCACCTTCCGCTCCAGCCGCTCGTCGCGCGTCTCTGCCCTGGTCGGTGGGGGGGCGTCCCTGGGGTCCTGGTCACAGAGGGGGAGGAGGGGGAGGCAGTGAGACGCTGCTCGCGTTTCAGTGGATGAACGACGTTAGATATACTCACCTCGAAGTGCCGGATGAAGGGCGCGATGCCGCTGTACGGCTGGTTGTGGTGCTTCTCGTGGGGCAGCTTCTCCAGCTGGGGCAGGAAGGGGATGGGGTCCCGCGGCGCGAACAGGGCCAGCAGGTTCGGGGGTAGAAACTGCGTCATCCTTCACCTGTTAGAAGCACGTCCTATATGGTCATTACCGCACAAACACAAACAGAGAAGAATACGGAATCCACCGTGACGTGAAGCAACGGAAGCCGGAAGCTCCCGTTAGCCTCGTTAGCCTGGTAGCACGTGTCCATCGCCTGTAGGAATGCGCCCCAACCGCATGCGTTATAAAACCCCGCGCAGTGCGCGTAACCTCAGCGGTATACGACGATAGTTGGAACACCGACTACCGCCTGGACCGCGCAGCATCGGGAATCCCAACAATGCCCCTCGCGCTAGCTAGCAGGCTAACAATGCTAACAAGGAGCCTCGAGCACGAGCGCGGTTCTCACCTTATCTCCTCCAAAGTCTTCCAAGATGTCAGACCATGAACCACGCGAACGAGCGTGCGGCGATGCGGTCCCCTGGACCACCTACTCGAGCGGGAGTCGAAAGCGAGACGCGTCCGGATGCCGAGGCCGTCTGGCGACAAGTGCCCGAGTGTGTGCGAGCGCTGCCTGTGTTTGTGAGAAGTAAAATGGCGGCGCGCCGTAAAGCGAAGCGACCTGCTTTAATGGCGCCGCGACAGCGCGCGACACCGGCCCCTATTCCGCTATTCCGCCTCCACTCGGTTGATAATTCTGTCAACTTTGAATGTTGCAGTAATACAAATGTACATAAAGGGAAATGGATTGTGATCCAGAGCGTTTAAGAGGCGACATACTGAAAGTATGTTTAATGTAATAAGGTGCAGACAACGTGGAGTCACAGCACCTGTATGACGTACTGGAGATGAACCAGGAACCAGAAACATTTATTGCCAACACATGTCAGACATACAAGGAATTTGACATGGTAGTAGGTGCATAACATCAGACTAAGACAGTGGACAACAATGGACAGCAAAGACAACATAGTGCAGGAAAATTGCATATTCAATGTACAAATGAACAATTTAACTAAGGAATAAAATGGAAACGGAAAGAAAGGTTATGGGCTAGGGGGAATACAGAAGACAATTTAAAAATAAACCATAAGAAGGGAATTAAATTACAAATTAAAGTTAAAAATAAAGTGTACAAGCGATACCCTACTCTACACAACTGTGTTGTGAGTGCGTGTGGAGTGAAGGGAGGACACGCTGCAGCCTGCCCTTGTCCTTGGCTGTGGCTGCAGCGTACCAGACGCTGATGGAGGAGCAGAGGATGGACTCCATGATGGCCGTGTAGAAGTGGACCATCATCGTCTTTGGCAGGTTGAGTTTCTTCAGCTGCCTCAGGAAGAACAACCTCTGCTGAGCCTTCTTGGTGATGGAGCTGATGTTCAGCTCCCTCTTGAGGTCCTGGGTGATGATGGAGCCCAGGAAACGGAAGGAGTCCACAGTGGTGACGGGGGAGTCACACAGGGTGATGGGGGAGGGTGGGGCTCTGTTCTTCCTGAAGTCCACAACCATCTCCACTGTCTTCAGAGGGTTGAGCTCCAGGTTGTTCTGGCTGCACCACGACACCAGATGCTGGAGGATGTAGTGGAGCGCCATGTTGACAGCGTCGTCCACAGACCTGTTGGCTCTGTAGAACTGCAGGGGGTCCAGGATGTGCCGATCAGCACGACGTAAACTTCATGCAACGGGTAAAGTGGGACATTTATAACACTCTCCCCTAAGAAGTAAAGTTTATTGTGATCCTTCAGTAGAAAACTAAAGAAAAACATGCTGTACGGGCAGTTACACCTGTCTTGCTTCAGCTACCTTACACACTTAAGCCCACGTAATCTCAGGCGAGCAGCGCTGGCGTGAAGGTGTTTGACCCACGTGGACGTCGTGGAAGGGAGGACGGCTGCTGCAGTCAGTGATCAGCATATGTGGAACTATGTTTAGTATGAGGCCACAGCTTTCTATACATCAAGCTTCATTCAAGAACTTCTCCATAATATAGAATGAAAATACAGACAACAGACTAAATGAATATTGAAAAATGGTTTTCAGGCAACATTTATATTTTGTTGGGCATGTCATTTTATAACGAGATTTAACAACTCTTTCGACCTCACATGCACACACAACAGAACCAAAGTGTTTGAAGCATCATACAGCGATGTAGTGTTCTTACACTGTGGTACAACACGAGTCACATCTAACCCGTCGCTCGGCCTCCACACACATTGTGACGGGGGAGATGAAGTAGCACGATTCAAGGAGCTAATTCACGGCCGAGCTTCTTATGGGCCGTCAACAAAGCGCAGCGTTCGTGGCGGGTTGGTGAGCTGGACCGTAGATGATCACGCAGCATCCTCTTCCTGTCCGAGCATACGTGATCCCATCTTCTATGGGAGACATTTACAGTGACATCATGGAGATGAGAACACGTCAAAGTATGGACAACGTCGGCTAAAACATTAAAGATAAAAACAATCAGAGGATTTCCCACAACGTGAGCAGAAGGCTGCTTGAGGACATTTAATAAAACATCCCGTCAGGCGGAGGAATGCAGCTCCCGGTCCTCGCGGTCCTCCTCATCCATTCGGCGGCCGTGTTTCCGGAAGTATTTGTAGCGCTGCACGTAGAGCTTCACCAGGTTGCTGACTTTCACCGGGTTGATTTCTCCAGTGCGGCTGTGGCAGATCTGAGACATGGACAGAGAGCATGATGCAGTTTGTACCGTTTCTCTCAGCCAGCTGGGCTTCTTGTTAGAAGGCATTCCTCACGTCGTCACCTGGACCAACTGGTTTAGCTACGTGCGCTCGGGCTGACCTTGTGCACTGCCTTCCTGAGGATGTCTTTGTAATCGTCCTTGTTGATGTCTTTGCGCTGATAGTACGGTTTGATGGCGAGCTTCACCTCCTCCACCGCCCGCTCCTGGGTGTGCAGCTTCTTTAGGTACTGGGCAATTCAGGTCAAACAAATGTTAAATTCATGGCAAAAAAAGGATATTTTCTTTTCTCATCAAAGCTTTTTTTATAGCGAGAAGCGGCCCTTGAACATGAAACACTTTCCCCAGAAAAATCTGCAAAACAATCTTAAAATTGTCTCCCCCCAAGTAAACGTTACTGCCCTAAAGCGACGCCACGTGGACCAACGACCAAAAGCTTTGAAAGGGCACAGGACAGACGGCAGTTTGTAAGAATGAGAACAGCTCTAAATAGACGCTGCGCGTAGAAGCACCTGTAGACTGGTGGAATCTATACAACACACAGATGTCAGGGTTCACGCCACGTGAGGACGAGAGTGAGCTCACTTATTCCTTCACAGTTAGGGGGGCGGATATGGGGCTGTGTCCGTGGGTGAGTGGAGAGCAAAGAGGGTTGTCGGTTTGATCCCAGGCATGTTGGGCAAGACACTTGACCCAGCATTGCTCCTGTAGCTGCGACTGCAGTGTGTGGATGTTAGTGACTGACGGGCAGGTGTGTGTGTGTGTGTGTGTGTGTGTGGTAGCTCACGTGTGAATGATGTCATGTAGTGTTGAAGCGCTTTGAGGTCAGAGTACATTTAAGGGTTCTTTGTTTACTTCCCCCCATATTTACTTTAGCTTGTCATCCCATTGATGAATCGGTAAAACACTTTCTTTTTCAAATGGTTTCAGTTACAGCTTCTTATCGACTCAAATGATTGTGGCTGAGACCAAATATTGGGCTGAACCTGAACTCACCTTGTCAGGGTCTTTACTCTCATTGTCCCATCCAGTGTCACTGGAGCTCCCAGTAACTCCCGACAGCTCCGTGGGCATGATGGAGGGTGGAGTCTGGGCACAGCCACCACCTGTGGGGTGGTGCAGGAGAGAGGGTGGGGTCTTGGTGCAGCCAACCAATGGAAGGGAGCTGTGGAGGATGAACTGCGCTGGGCTCAGAGCAGGAGGCGCAGGGAGAGAGGGAGGGGGAGGGATCTGTGAGGAGGAGGCAGAGGAAGGAGGAGCCAACTGCTGAGACTGGCTCTGATTGGCCTGTGAGAGGATCTGCATGAGACAAAGTGAAGGCAGTCAGCCCACGGCGCCACGACAAGAACCGTTTCAATTCTCTAATGCCGAGGAGAGGCCTCGGCACCACCTTCTACCAAAGGAGATCATTTTGTCCCACAAGGCCTTGCGGCAGCAATATTTGGGTGGTGACGTCTCATTGGACCGAGAAAAAACAACAACTCTTGGCATAACTTGCTTTGAATGGAACATACTTTGAAGCTGGTAACTGGTAAGAAGACTGATGCCGTGGCGTTTTCCAGAGGTTAACGAAAGCGTTAGGAGGTACTTTTTTGGACTATTCGATTCCAGCCCAGACTTTCGAACGCTGACAAGCAAAATTGTGGCCAGGTTGAGAAAAGAGGGGGAGTCAGCGCTCCCATAGAAAAGGGGGATTTTTCTGATATTCGTTTTGACATCGTTGTGGGATCACTTTGGTGCTGGGCGTTGGCCGGGTGTTCATTGTTTTGGCCTCTCTGAATACAGACGTGGTGGCTGTAGTGGCATCATTGCCGCGTAAGACGCAGTCATAAAATGTCCAGATTAAAGTCATCGTGTGTGCACGGTGTGTGGCTGAGGTGCATTTAAAAGACGGGGTAGGAAGAGGACCACGGATGTCATGAACCACCTTGCTGCCATCGTTAGTGTTTACAAGCCTCCCTGCTGTTCCAGTGGTGAAAGCCTCATCAGTGTGATCCAAGTGTTACAGGCCAAAAGTGAATTACTTCACGTTTCCGACTGACTAGGCTCGCTGCAACTATTAATTGAGCTTTACCAATTCTGAATTTAACAAAACAAGTGGTCCCTTTTCAGAATCCACCCTTATTGAGTGCACCAATAAACGCACAGCATTTAAGCAAGTGTTTATGAAACGTTGCCTTTTTCCTACAATGGATAATAAAAGACATTACCCTGAAAGCTGCTCCTATTAACATTTAGAAACCATTTCAAATGGAGGCTGAGCAGAATGAGCCGGCCGCTCTCACCTGGCTCGTTGCTTGAATGAACTCTTGTGCTTTCGCTCTGCTGGCGATGTTGGCCTCCTCCATCTTGAAGAGCAGCGCCGTCACTGAATGGAAGAATAAGCAACAGCTATTTTATTTTAGAAAAGGATACGTGCATGCATATGGCTACACATGAATTGATACACATATCATAAAATGACACAGTGATTCATCCCTGAACGCGATGATCAAAACTTAATAGTGGTATCAGTAGCTCTTGATTCACATAAGATGAGGTACTTTGTTTTATCTACTTATTCTGAAAGTTGAATTATTTTTGCTCCCAACATCTCATTGGATGATGCATTCCATGAAGCCTACTGACTTTGGAAGGACACAAACATGGGGGTGATAGTCCATGGAAAGATACCTTTACTAAGGATGAAGACCTTCCAGAACATTTCCGTACAGCAACGGAGGCTACTCACACGCTAGGACTCCTCCAGTTGTGCAGTCCACCCCGGTCTGCAGACTCCAGGGCAGGCCAGCCGCTGCTAGAGGGGGAGGAGGATGAGGAGGAGGCTTACTAGCAGACGAGGAGGACACAGAGGAGGAGGAGGAGGGGTCGGACGAAGACGGAGGCAAAGAAAGGGAAGTGAAACCACAGCCTGCCGAAGAGGACGAGCATGGAGGTGAGGGCAGGGATTTGGGCGCATCATCTGGAGGAGGCGGCTTAGCAGTGGCTGTGGACAAGGCACTGCTGAGGACAGCTCCCTGGGGGGCGGACAGGCTGGACGGACTGGGTGGCAGCGGTGTGGGGCTGGTCTGGGTTGGACAGTCCTCAGCTAAGAAAGGAGGGTCTGGAGTCTTACAGCTGCTGTCCACAGTCTGAGAGTCTGGAGAAGACTCCCTGGTGTCACGCAAAGGCACAATGGAGGGTGGAGGTGTATGGGGGGGCGAAGAGGAAGGTGGGAGCACACTTGTAGAGGAGGAGGAGGAAGAGGAGGAACAACAGGGTGCAGGGCCGGCTTGACTAGTATGAGGACTGACTGACTTGCTGCCATCTCCGGTGGCAGACTGAACCTCTGAAGACGCCCCCCCCCAGCCCTCAGACTGGGCTTTCGTTGGGTCATCTGCTCCAACCGCCCGCACCACAGCTCCTCCCTTTTCCCTCGTCTTCTTGGCCAGGCGGCGGCGGCGCTTGGTTGCCAGAGATGAAGAGGGGGAGGAGGCAGAGGAGGAGGTGGATGTAATGGAGCTTGGTTTGGTTTTTGGGGGTTTCAGTCCTGCAGGACTGGTTAGGGCGGAGGGGGGCGCAGCAAGGCTGCTTCGCTTCCCCATACTGGCCAGGTCTTTAGTGCGGTTGCCCAGTGACAGCGGCTCTGAGCAGGGTTTGAGGAACGGAGACCTGCTCTCATTGTCCCTGCAGAACACCACTGCAATCGAGCCACCCACCACAGAGCCCCCGGTACCCCCCACGGCACCTCCTGGCCCCAATAGGTCCATGCCCAGCTTTCCAGGTCCGACGGAGGTCCCTGTGGTGCTGCTCACGCCCTCACGCACCAGCACGGACACCTTCGACTGAAGCTTGCCTTTCCGACCGCCGCCGCTCTCTCTCTTGTGTTTGGCGGAGTGGCCCAAATCCTTCCTGCTTCCTTTGTCCCGGTCTTTGTCCTTTCCCATCTTTCTGGCTCGCTTTGCTGAAGGGAGGCCCGAGGAGGCAGTAGCCGAGCCTGAGGTGACTGTCAGTGAGGAGAGACATTGGCCTTTAGAGGAAGACGAGGACTGGTCCATTTTCTTCAATGCGTGAGATTTCTTTTTCGGGTGACGTCTTCCAGTCTTGGGGACAGCTTTAGGTTTAGGACTGGGGACCGGTGGTTCTGGTGGCAGGGCAGCAGGGGGTGTATCCTCAAGAGATGGGTAGTCTGAGTCTAAAGCCTCACCATCCAAAGACAACACGTCTATCTCCAATTTGTCCGAATAGCGGTCCGACTCGTAGCTGTGATACCTTGGTGGGGAGATTGACTGCGATTGGCTGTGACAACTTCCACGGTCGTCCATCTCTCCGGCTGAGTGCCATTTCCTCTTCTTCTTCCTCTTGTGGGGCTTTTCAGAGTCCTGTGAAGGTCGACACGGCGAGGGGGGGGCGAGTCTCGGGGAGCCGGGTACGGTGGTGGTGGTGGTGGTCGTGGTGACTGTGATAGTTCTCTTAATGGCAAATAGATCAGAGCCATTGAGGTCTTGGATGGATGGCGGGACAACAGGACGGCCGTCCCGACGCCGTTCCCGGTCACGCTGCCGGTCTCGGTCGCCGTCCCTCGTGTCCTTGCTTCTTTTGGACCTCTTTGAAATGCCTCGCTCTCTGCTGCTTGAATGTTGTCTTCCCTTCTTCCCCAGGTCATCCTTTCTGGAGCTGGAATCTCGCTCTCTTTCGTCTCTTCTATGGCTACTCGTCCGACTTGGCGCCCTGTCTCTATCCCTGTCTTTCTCTCTTCCCCTGTCTCTGCTTCGGTCTTTCTCCCGCTCCTTCTCTTTATGTCTCTCTTCAGATGGGCTTGAGAAAGGCGGTCTGGTCTGGCCCCCTCTTCCTGAAGAGTTGCAGGACCGTGGGCCCTCTGGACTGCTGTGCTGTCTTTTCTTCCTCTTCCGGCTACTGCTCCTGCTGCTCCTCCTTCCTTTAGCTTCCTTTCTGCTCTTGTGCCCTCGCTCCTGTTCTTTGCTCCTCTCCCTATCTCCCTCTTTGTCTTTCCTACTCTTCTTTCTTCTTTCTTCCTTCTCCCCAGCCTTCCTATCCTTGCTTTTCTGTCGGTTGGCGTCCTTGGAACTCTTGGAGGACTTGCGGTTCTTGGTGACCTTTTCTATCTGAGGTGTGAGCGGGGAGGAGGGCGCAGAAGCTGGAGGATGGGAGGGAGGCGGTGGCTGAGGAGAGAGGGGAGAGGAAGCAGGAAAGGAGAGATACCTTTCCTTCCGCCTGCTGACCAACTTCCTTCTCAGATCCTCCACTCCTACCACGGGCTCATCCTCAGGCTCCATGTCCACCTCCCAGTTGCTCTCTGTGCGGACGGACACAAAGCCGTCCCCGTCCAGCACCCGGAGGATGCGTTCTGGCTTTGACCCAAAGAAGGAAACGCTGGGAGAATGCACGGTGGGGATCTCTCCAGCTGATCTCCGGTTGCCTCCATCTCTGTCGACTAGCCCGACTATCTCCCCCTCCTCGATCTCAGAGTGATCGGAGTCAGCAAACCTCTGCTTCCCGCCTTTGGCAGAGCTACATTCCACTCTCCGTCTCAGGGGGCGCTGGGTAGACCGGCGGGGGCTGTTCTGGTCACTTGCGGCGTGAGTGGAATCTGGAGGTTCTTCGTCTTTTTCCTCATCACTTGCAGCATTTCTCTTCACCCCCCTCACTTTGCCCCTTCTATTGTCATCATCGTCTTCTGATGCTGGGGAACCTGTGGGGTCAAAGGGGTCGTATTTCTCGCCATCTCCGTCCTCCTCCTTCACTCCCTCAGTTGGGTGGAAAGGATCATACATCTCCCTTTTCAGGCCTGCTTCTTCACAATCAAGCCGTAGCTGAACTGAACTGTGGGGGAAGAGTTCGGAGGAGGTGGTGTTGGATGAAAGTATGGAGAGAGACTGCGTTGCTGCAGAGGCAGAAGTGGAGGACACCCTGGCCACCTCCGACCCCCGGCTCCGACCTTTTACATGGTTCTGATGAAGTGACGAGTTGCCGCAGCGAGAGGAGGATGTGGACACGGGCGAGGACGGATCAGACGATGGCGATGACGGGGAGAAAGAAGGCGAGCAGGGAGGACGGCTCCTGGTAGTCTCTCCAACACCACTTGGAGAAGAGGAGGCAGCAGGCCTCCGTTTGAAGCCTGAGGCTGGAGTCAAGTCCATGGGCCAGGAAAACTAGGGAAGCACAAGTCAGTCAGTGGGTCCTGGAGGATGGTCACCATACTCGAAAATAGAATCCAGGAATAAACCTAGTAGAAAGGACAGGAAACATGAACCACTATTGGAGATGCTGAGCACAAAAGACAAATGGTGGTCCTCGATCTCTGAGGATAATTTAGCTGGGACGTAGCGGTTTAATTACAATAAATGGTTTAACAAACCAGCGTTGATTCACAATCCATACGGATCCCAGCTCACAGATCTGCACGGATTTCAACCGCTGATTAATAACACAGGTCAAGTTTGACAATTATCTGCCAATATTGAGTAAAACCTGTGATCTGTGTTTATGCTTTTACATTGTACAATCAGGGTCCAAAGTGAGGAGGAGAACCCTGGTTCAGTTACATTATGAAGCGTCCAGGCTCTGTTCAGTGACGTAAATTAAACGTCTCCCTCCTTGGTTGCATCTCGCCTGCCGGTCAGCAACAACTCCAGTGACGGACCTGAAGGCGCAGCTGCTGTGATGATTAGTTACTGCGGTAGTGCTACTACCTACACGTCTTACTTATCTGAACCCAACAATAACACATCTGCATCGTGACCCGCTGAGAGAGCAGCCAGCCCATCATGTGCGCTTCAATGGCAGGGATCGATCCTCCGACACGCTGCATTTCATCAGAGGGTCAAATCACACACACACACACACACACACACACACACACACACACCTCAGCACCTAGGTGGACACACACACACACACACACACACACACACCTCAGCACCTAGGTGGACACACACACACACACACACCTCAGCACCTAGGTGGACACACACACACACACACACCTCAGCACCTAGGTGGACACACACACACACACACACACACAAAGCTCCTCCCACTCACCTTAGTCTGTGTGCCTTTGTGTTGTTGTCTACCTGTGCGCGGTCTAATTGTGTGGCCGTGTGTCGGTACCCACCTTTAGCCGGCGTGGACTCAGTGGCCGATGTTAGCTTAACCTCTTTGCTAGCTAAAGCTACACGTTGAGGCTTCGGGGTGGTGGATCACCGCGCCGCGGCTAGCTTGTTAGCATACGAGCGGCCGTAACGTTGGGCGTCCAGGGGACGTTAGCCGGCTAGCTTACCTGTTCGCTCCACCGTGGCTAACAGTGGCGTTGGCTAAAGGGGGGCGACTCACCCGCAGTCCGCTAGTCTGCAGCTGTGGTCCAAGTCGCCTGCTGGCATCGCAGGCGGTCCGCCGCTAGAACGCAGTACCAATGCGTTGTTGCAGATCTAGAGCAGACATCGTAGCCGCAGTCCGCCAGCCGCCGCCATCTTGCTCACACCGGACCGCAAAGACTGCCGGGAAACAGAGTCCAGTCCGCGCGCATCATCCACGCGAACCACCAGCAGACACGCGTGGACCGTATGGAGGAGACAGGAGGACACAGGACAAGGCTTTTGTTCAGTCTTTAGGTTGTAAGCATCAAAGAGGGACTTGCATTACACTTGGCATTATAGTTACTGAGGCACAATGAGAGCCTGAACGCATCATCTAATAAGACTTAAGCACGTTCATCCATTCACATGCATTTAAAACGTGCAGCCACACCCAAAGGGAGCATGCTTTCTGTTTAATGGAGCTCTAGGTACATTTCCATTATGGTATTGTTCCAATAGAAAGTCATTTTAATGTCTAATTTAACTAAATAGCTGTATTGATGTTTGTTATCACAACACCAAATATTCACTTTATAATGAGATATGTATATTTATTCTCAGTGTTTTATATTTACAGCCAATGTCATTCCATTTGTACAAGATGACTAAAAGCACAATTTAACCGCATCATCCAAACACATTTGCTTTCCAGAAGAATGTAGCCGTAAATGTCCCACAACACGTGTGAGTACTCGAGTAACTGGACACGCAGCGATGACCTGGGCCCTGTTCCTCTGACTTGGTTCAACTAAGTCGATCAAATGTCCCATTATCCAGCTCAGATGCACGAGATGACTGATGTCAGGCGAGGCTGATCCGCTCTCAAACCGTCTCGTCAGCAGTGGCGGCTGGTGGATTTTCCTTTAGTTCCAGTAAACATCCCAGCAAAAAGGCATCAAACACGCATTATTATTTGCAGTTAAATGTTTAACATTTATTCCAACAGTTTAACATAATAAAGACATCTTATTCCAACAATAAGAATAAGAAACAAAACAAACAGTATTAATGAAAATATATATGTAACTGATTTTATATATATATAAACACAATATTCAGAATATGATAGGACTACCATATTGTAACCATTATAAATATCCAATATAAATATCATATAATTATATTAAAGGATAAATATGTTACAATATAAATATATTTATATAAAATCTATTAGAACACAGACACACACACACACCGCCAGCCAGCAAAAAAAGTGTCCAATCAACTGGAAAAGAGCTGTGGAAGCTGAAGGGAAACTTGAAAAAAAGTATTTTATTTATTTTTTATATATTGACATGCATGCATTTGTTTGAGGTGTGTCATGTCAACTGTAAACAAATTAAATATACTTTATGGGTACATAAAACCCATGAAGAAACAAGAGAACTGCATCCATTTGGTTTACATTCAGCGCATTGTGACCTCATTGGAGTAACCCTAACAAAAACAAATAAGTATGTACTATAAAGCAGTAGAACATCTTAACTCAACAGTTAGCGTGAAAATACACATGGAACCCTTTTGCTGAAAGACCAAACATAATAAATAAATGTCAGTGCTGGACAAAAACAGTCAAGTTGCAATCATCCATCAGTTTGTGCGTTTGTAGATTTACGTGTCGGCTTCATGGCGTCGTCAGCCGGCCTGCTCTGCTCCTCAAGCGCCCCTCCTCAGGAGGAGCTCACAGGCGCAGCCGACACACCAAGGTGGTCCGTCTCCACAAGGTGGAGACGGACCACTAAGCACATATTCACACCTTCACTGCAGACATCTTATCAGCGCTTGAGAAGGAGAAGATGTCCGCGCTGATCGCCACCCGACGCAGCGTAGACCACAGACGGTCATTTCCTGTTCCTATGCAGAACAGGCAACTAAAAACTGCTTTCTAAGATCAGCATACAGCACATTCTGGATGAGGCATGGAATTTAGACGGAGTAAGGAACATTCCGTTGAAACGCAGATTACGTACCTGCTTCTTTGTTAGCCCTAATGTTTCAAATCGGCATGCGAGAGGCACCACGCGTTCTGTCCCTGCATGTCGGTTACTACAACCAGCAGACACACGGCGGGGGAGCCTCCTACTCTCAGCACAGATATAATGCTCTATTCCACACGCGTACACACAATTGTGTCGTAAAGCTGAAGTGTGGATCTCGTCAACGACCCCGCTTAAAAAGTAACACTCCCCATTCTCTATCTGCCCCTCCCTCCGTAACTCAGCAAGTCCACGACGTGGAGCCCCGAGGGGGGTCAGAGGAGGAGCTGGACATGAAGAAGCACCTCCTGCTTCAGACCAGCCCGGCGTCCTTGGCCATCTTGTAAAAGGCTCCTCTTTGTGCGAGGAGATTGTGGGGGGCGTCAAACTCTGCCATCTCTCCCTTGTCCAACACCAGAATCCTATGAGAGCCACAACACGCATTTGTTAGAACAAAGCCTCATTCCCCCGTGTGTCATCATCGAACATGGGCACCCACCGCCGCCCTGTAGCTCACCTGGTGTAGTCCATGACCGTGTTCAGACGGTGAGCTATCGTCAGGACGGTGCAGTCCTCAAACTGAGAACGGATGGTGGACTGGATCAAGTTGTCCGTCTCCATGTCCACGGCGGCGGTGGCCTCGTCTAGGACCAGGATCTTGGTCTTCCTCAGCAGAGCTCTGGCCAAGCACAGCAGCTGCCGCTGGCCGACACTGGAGGGAAGACACAGAGGCTGAAACAGAGGGGGCTCCCTGCGGGGGGCCGGTGTGCGCCGGTCAGGGCCGCCGCGTGTTCCTGCGTCTTTACGCGTCGACGCGCTGGTTTCACTTCCTGGTTGTAAAGTCCTGTGTGTGTTGCAGAGCGATTCACCTCCAGAACAACAGGTGGAGTCACGTGTTTTGTTGAAGACGACCTGGAGAGTCACGTCTTTGTGTGTGGAAGTCGCTGGTTGCTTTATTTATTGATCATAGACTTTATTGCCCCGTGCATCCACACTGCTGCTTTGCATCAAGGACACATTTGTCCCGTATTTTCCTCCACGACTTTGTTCCCCTCGTTTGTGGAGATCTGCCTCCATGAATCAGAGGCCATCCGGCGTCCTCATAGTCCGCCAATGACGGCTTGTACAAGCGCTCATATTTAAAAGCTCTTCAATCTGATCCGTTCTCTCGTAAACGTTCTTCCTTTTAATAACGGCCGTATTGTGCTGTGAAAACGGAGACGTGAGACTCTAAAGGACGGAGTTAGAGACCAATCACAGCCTGGTGCTGCGTCGCTTTAGACGCTAGTCTAGAAAAATGGGTCGATGCACGCAAGATATTTACTACGTAGTTGTATAGAGCTTTTTACCATATTGGTGATGCATTCAGGGTGTGTGGAGCCCATTTTCTAATGGAGGCAGAGCAATCAACTGTCATTGCGTATAATGATCCGTAATGAAAGTGGACCAGTGCGGTTGAGGCACAGTACGTTCCTGATGGTGTGTGTAGAAGGCGAACGTACCTGAGGTTCTCTCCTCCTTCACTACACTCATGACTGAGTTTGTTAGGCAGGCCGGACACAAAGCTCTGGAGGTGGGATAACTCCAGGGCCCTCCACACTTCCTCATCGGAGTAGCAGTCGAAAGGATCCAGGTTCATCCTCAGGGAGCCCGAAAACAGCACCGGATCCTGAGGAGACGGGGAAACAAGGGGCGAGCTGAGAGCAGTTCTAGGGCGCCCACCAAGTCGTCAGAGGGACGTCGGCACCAAAGCCCGATCTGGAGTTCTGCTACGTGCTGCAATGGGACTGGACACGATGGCCTTTGGTGTTTAGGTGTCAGCTTTCAATTATTATTATTCTTTTTTCTATTTTACTTCCATCCATTGCATCATCTTCAGATGCGGTTCATCTCTGCAGACCTGTGGTATAATGGTGATTCTGGACCGGAGCTCATGGAGGCCCAGCAGAGCAATGTCCACCCCGTCGATGAAGATGTGGCCCTCTGACGCCTCGATGATCCGGAACAGCGCCAGCGTTAGGGAGGATTTCCCCGCTCCAGTGCGCCCCACAATCCCCACCTTAAGGGAAGAGGAAGCAGGGAATGTTGGGCGCCACAGCCTGTACACACACACACACACACGCACGCACGCGCACGCACACACGCACACACACCTTCTCTCCTCGGTTTATGACGAGGGTGATGTTGCGGATGGCGAGGTCCAGATCGGGGCGGTAGCGCAGGCCGAGGCCTCTGATGTCTATGCAGCCGTCGGTGGGCCACCCTGGGGGGAGGCGGGAGGGCTCCTGTTTCCACTCCGCCTGCTCATCACAGGACACCAGTATGAAGAACTAATCTACAGTATAATCAGCTGCATTTACATCAAGTGGCACATCTTTGAAAGTCACATTATAAGATCTTCTTGAAGCCACCTGATCAACTACAAGCTGGTTTCAAATACTGAACAGAGTTTGTTAGTCATGTGCAGCGAATTTAAGCGGGAAACTTCAATTCAAACACTGGGATTATAAAGTTTACACTGCCTCCAGCTCCACTCACTGGACTCTAAATGGAATATATGTGTTGTAATCAGAAGGGCACGAGCTATTCTGGTCATTTAGAATAAACAGAGGCTGGATGTCCCAGTCTGCCACGAGCCCTTAAACGCAGCACGCGTTGGTGGATCCAACACGGTGCAACACATTTGACAATCTGACTAAATACAAAAAGGATGTCACAAATATTTATTTAGATTTCTATAAAGCAAACGTGAGCAGATGTGGGAAGCTGAAGTAAACGGCCTGAACGTGCATCATGTCTTCATGATGTGTGCATTGAAACGGTTTCATACAAACAGGCTGGGTCTTTTGTTCATGTCCACTACATCTACATCGTGCAGTACACTGGTGGGCCTGTTTCGATGTCTTGTGTACAAAGAGATTCCAGAGCGGTTTGCAGTTCTTTTACACAATAAGTGCTGCTCCCATCCGGCACCATGGCGCCTTTCTTTGTACCTCTTTCTCTGTGTCACTGTACTCCTTCACTCTCTCCACAGCTACTATATTGGTCTCCACCTCAGAAGACATCCTCACCAGCCAGGTGAGGGAGGCCGTCAGCTGCACATGGGAGAGGAACAGGACAGAGGACAGGTGTCTCAGGTCTGTACATCCACACAGACGCCGGGACGGGAAAGTCATCGGCATTGAAGATCGATATTTGCATTCATGTGAGAAAATAATGATAGGGGATAAAGTACCTAAAGCTCATCTACATGAGACATGTCCTGCCTGTTATGCTGAATCCAGCCCTGGGAAACTAAATGCGGCCCAGCAGATCGGCAACGGGCTGAGGAGCCGACGTAAGGTCAATAAACGAAGCCGTGTCATGTTTTACCCTGAAAACAGGCTCCTTTCTCCAGCGAATGCATTACGCTGCCATTAACATGTGCAGAAATGGGACCGGCCTCGGATAACCAACAGACCACCGAAGAGGGCAAATATAAATGCGTGAGTGTTCACCTGGAGGGCGTAGGAGATCGACAGCCCCATGATGCCTGGACTCAGGCTCTCTCTGGCTACGACGGCGAACAAGGCAGCAAAGGACACGATGCAGTTTCCCACAAACTCCAGACGAACAGCCAGCCACCTGCACACACACAGCCACTGGCACGGTGAGGACAGGGGGCCTGTGTGGGGACCCGGGGGCCTGTGTGGGGACCCGGGGGCCTGTGTGGGGACCCGGGGACCTGTGTGGGGACCCGGGGACCTGTGTGGGGACCCGGGGGCCTGTGTGGGGACCCGGGGGCCTGTGTGGGGACCAGGGGACCTGTGTGGGGACCCGGGGGCCAAAGAACAGAGGCTGTTGGGTGACCTGTTGGCTACGATGCCGGGGTAGTACGCCTTCTGGTTGAGGTCCACGCGCTGGTCACTCTCACAGATGAAGCGCTCCTGTTCCCCGAAGGCCCGGATGACCGACGTGCCCAGCAGGGTCTCGTTGAAGTGGGTGTAGATGGGTGAGCGGCTGACGGACTCCAGGCGCTTCAGTTGGCGAGACGACGCCACATAAAACCTCTGGACAGAGACGTCGGACAACGTCAAGTAACCAGCGTAGGGACATTTAAAGAATACCAGCCAGCCCGCTGAGGGAATGAACCAGAGGAAGAGAAAATGCCATCTGAAAATCCACAAACCTGCACAAAGAAGTAGAGCACACCCAGGAAGGGGATGATGATCGCCACCAGGGGCGTGGCGATCAGGATGATGATGCACGAGCCCACCACATTAAACATGGAGCCCATGAACATCTTGATTATGCTGGGGATCAATGAGTCGATGGTGTCGATCTCCTTGGCAAAGCGGTTGACCAGGTTGCCGCTGGGGGTTCGCTCGAAGAAGGACATGGGCGAGCGCAGGACGTCGTACAGCATGGACTGGTGGAGACAGCGGGACGCCAGGATGCCCCCGATAGACCCGGAGAGGGAGTAACCGAAGACCGCCAGGCCTACAAAGAGCACATGCAGTGGATCACATCAACACTCAAGTTTAGAGTCCTCAACCAGCCGGTATTCTTCTTCCCCCCTGCCTCCCCCTTTCAAACTATCGGCTGAAGAGCTCATCGGCTCTCGGGTGAAATACGGTCTAGCGATGCTCCTCCCTGATCCAGTAATTATTAGAATGGCTGAGATCTTTGATGTCCCTCTGTTGGGTGTTGATCTGTTAACGGTCTCTGCATCTCCTCACCTTGGAACAAGCCAAGGGCGCCGTACACCCCCAGCCTCATCCGCCTGTTGGGCTGAGTGCCATTGACCACGGGGTCGTCGGTCCACAGGCTGAGCCAGTAGTTGGAGGACAGGGAGCCCAGGTGCTGTGCCAGAAACATCAGCAGACTGACGCAGGACAGAAGCACTCCGATGGCTTTCAGATACGAGCCGAACACCGAGAGCTTGACCTGTGGAGGCGGAGCAGACCGGCTGGGGTCATGCGGTGGTTGGGACCATCGGCACACATGTTCCGTAGCTTCCACCTACCCGTCCGGTGCTGGCCTTGTCCGCCTCCGTCAGCTTGCCCCCCTCGGCCTGCTTGGCTTTCTTGCCCGGCACCTTGTCCTCCTCGCCCGTCTGTCCCGGTTTGGACACACGGCTTACTTCTGGACTGTTGCACACACCAATAGAAAGAGACGCATTATGTCAAAGATACATATTCATCCAACTGACCGAGCAGCCTGCCTCGTGTAAAATGTGTTAAACTCTTTCTCACTCTGGTAACATTTTCAAGAAGGAATGTTTTGCAACCAGAACGGAGATTTTTGAACTGAAACAAGTCATTGACCCAAAGCTTAGAGACAATCAGGATAAGAATACAATTCTGTAATATTGTTGTCACAGAGACCGTCCTCCGCTAACAGGCATGGAGTGTCTATCCAAAGCCTGATGGATTTAGATCTTCATTGGTTCGACGTGACCGTCACTCACCCAGCAGGAGCAGCGGCGCTGCAGCCCTCTGAGGCTTTGGTTCCACTCGTTGGCACAGTTTCTAAAGGTGGTTAAGAAAAGCATTTAGTGACAAAAGGTTTGCTCCATAAACACTAACTGCATCCACTCCAACAACCACGATTACGTCCCCGCAGAAAACGTCTTCATTGGCGGCAATGAAGACGTCGGTGAGGCGTGCAGAAGGGCTCACCATCGTGGTCGGCGTGCTCGACAGCGGCGTACGTCCGCTGGAACTCAGCGAAGGCTCCCTCTGTGGCCATGAGATGCTGGTAGGAGCCCATCTCGCTGACCTCTCCCTCCACCAGGACCAGGATGAGGTCCGCCTGAGGCAGGTAGCTCAGTCCATGTGTCACCAGCACACGGGTCTGCACACATGCAACACATTATAGCTTTTGTGGTTGTGACCGATTCTGATTTACGCTTTCATTTCTCACCATCATAAACATTTAGCAAAGTCAATTACATTTATTTTGTAAAGGCCAAAATAATGAATGTGCCTCAGAGGGGTCTGCACAGCTCTGTGCCGGTCCCCTTGAATTAACACAGGAAACAACATTTACACACCGGATGCTGCAACGAGGCCCATCAATCACAGGTTAACAGACAGCAGACAGAAAGCGAGAACAGAATAAAGTTGCGATGGACAGATGTGTGACTGGTGTAAAGTGGAAGTCAATGATGACGCAACCACAAAATGGCACAAAAACAAGGGGTTAAAATGATGAGACGGCATATCCCTCCCTGGGCTGCACAAGCATGTGATCACAGTGTGTCGTTTGCATGCTGTAAATAATCAACTTAAGTAATATGTACTTTTAGAAAGATAGTAGACATGAACTATACTTTATAGACACAGAATCGTGATTAAGTTTGTTTTTCTTCTAAAGACTAAATCTTACAAGTAAGATTTGTAAACATGTGTGTATTTTAGACACAATGAAAATAGGAAGTCCTTGAAGTCTTTATACGAGAGTTGAAGGTATATTTACTACTATAACAAACCGTACTACCAGTACTTATACTGCTAATGCCACAACTTCTACTCATTTCACTACAATGACTAATAGTATTACTATTAGTACTACATTGTTGTTTATTTGGGTTTCACACACATCTGGAAGGAGCTGCACATGTGCAGTGCATGCAGGCAGCATGAGGGGGAGCAGTGCTGTATGAGGAAGGATTGATACTAGAAATATGCTAAATCCTTTCCTTACCAGTAGGTACATTCAACATTCAGAGCAGAAACCTTCATTACACATTATGATGATATGATCACACCATTGAAGAAGAAAATGATGAGTAATGCCATAGTTTAAATAAATACGCGTTGATCACAAGCGAGTTAACGACATCCTGTGAGGTTGGATCTCTCATTTAGCAGATATCCATATTTCATCTGTAGGCTGCTTACGTTCTGTCTGACAGTTCTCATCCTATTGCCTCCTACAACACCAATAGAAACCCCACCTGAATAATTAGCAACCAGCAAATTGATCAGAAGAGTTGTTGATAGACTGAACTCTCATGTGGCTGTTGATGTACACACCTTGTCCTTCAGCAGTCCCTGTGGGCCGACCACCTGCTCAAAGATGTGTTTGCCTACGTGAGCGTCCACAGCAGACAGCGGGTCGTCCAGCAGGTAGACATCCCGCTCACAGTACACGGCCCGGGCCAGGCTCACCCTCTGCTTCTGACCCCCGGACAGATTCACTCCCTGCGCAGGACCACCAGAGGGTTCTTCAGCATGTAACGGGATTAACGGCAAGAATCCTTCACACAAACGGAATTTGTGCGCTGCAGGTGGGCGCTGCAGAGGTGCCAGGGCCTATTAATCGCCCATCAAATATTTAAAAAATGAGCATATGCTTTTTAACTTTTTCTTTCTAAACTGTATACAGCTGCAATCAAAATGATTCAACCCCCCGTTGCACATTAGGTTTATTGGCAAAATATACAATTTCTCAGCTGTTTGCAATAAACTAATTACACAAGAATTGTTTAAGTAGTTTAATGAAACTAATATTACAAATGTTTAGTCCAAATTCAACACAAAATGCTACTTTTAATGTCAGTCTCAAAATGATTCAGCCCCTTCATGACGAGCATCTTCAGTACTTTAGCAATGATTCAACTCCCCGTATCAAGCACATCTGATGCAACAGATCAGAGGTTTCATTGGTTCACGTGTGCTTGAGAGAGAACACATAAATACCTGGTCAGGCTCCTTGTTTGTTCAGAGTGACGTTTGATTAGATGTTAGAAATATGCAAAGTCAAAAGAATTGTCCAAAAAGTTCAGAGAAGAGATCATTGCACAAACAAGGAAAAGGACACACAAAGACAGCAAAAGCACTGAATGTCCCTAGAAATACGGTTGGAAGCATAGTTCACAAGTTGAAAGTTGAAGGACCAGCGGCTACGCGACCTGGACGTGGCAGAAAGAGGAAGCTGTCAGCGGCTGCCACCAGATTCCTGAGGAGGCAAGTGGTCAAAAACCCTCGAGTGACTGCAAGACACCTGCAGCAAGACACCTGCAGCGAGACACCTGCAGCAAGACACCTGCAGCAAGACACCTGCAGCGAGACACCTGCAGCGAGACACCTGCAGCGAGACACCGGCAGCGAGACACCGGCAGCGAGACTTGGTGGCAGCAGGCACTGAGGTTCAGTTTGCACAGTAAGGCGCACACTAAACACCGAAGGGTTCCACGCCCGGACTCCAAGACGCACACCACTACTGACCCAACAGCACAAGAAAAGTGCTGAAAACCACATAAATAAGCCACCGATGTTTTGGAATTCTGTTCTGTGGAGCGATGAGACAAAACTGGAACTATTCGGGCCTGTGGATCAGCGCTATTTGAAGAAGGCGGTTGCAAAGCGACACCAAAGAATATTAGTGAACTGGAGGCCGTGAGCAATGGGCTCAGATTCCTCAGGAACGCTGTCAGAAGCTGCTGTCTGGCTGTGCATCACGTTTGCAGCAGGTCATCACAGCCAAAGGTGCTCAAAGTACTGAAGATGCTCGGCATGAAGGGGATGAATCATTGAGACTGCAGTAAAATCATTAAAAGTAGCATTTTGTGTTGAATTTGGACAAAACATTTGTAATATTAGTTTCATTAAACCACTTAAATAATTCTTGTGTAATTTGTTTATTGCAAATTAACAACTGAGAATTTGTATATTTTGCCAATAAACCTAATGTGCAATGGGGGGTTGAATCATTTCGATGTAGATGCCCTCAGAGTGGATGTGGGCAGTGAGGGCGCACACAGGAAGGACTAAAGGGGGACTGCACATGACTTGGATGGGCACGCTACATGTGGTACCCTCTGCAGATTAACCCACTGTGAATAGATACCTTCTCTCCGATCTCGGTCTCGTCTCCAGCTGGAAGGATCTCGAGGTCAGGCTGAAGGGCGCAGGCCTCCACCACGCGCTGATACCAGGCCTCTCGGCTCTCCTGACCGAACATGATGTTCTCTCTCAGGGTGGCGTTCTGGATCCAGGCCTGCTGAGGAACGTAGGCCACTGAGCCCTGCGGGGAAACAAACTAAATATCACGCCATTGTGCTATGATGACGAGCGCCAGACGGAGCACATTCCTGCCCCCCAGAGGACGAACCCGCACCTCATGGGTGGACTGAAATGGTCCGAGCACTCACGTCGACGGAAAGGACTCGGCCACGCTGATGCGCAGCAGGCAACCATGTTATAAGAGATCATTATGGAGTGAGACACAGACGCAGATCATTCAGTATCCTTAACCAACCACACGTCATGTCAGAGGTGGATTTAGGGGAGAGGCAGCTTCTCTTCCGTATCCTGAGTAGTGGTAAGTGAATCTGTCTACGTGTTGGTGTGTGTGGCAGAGCTCTGATCAGAGTGTGTGTGAGACGGGGACAGAGCAGACACCTTCACGGCCACACTTCCTTCTAGCTTGTCCATCTCTCCGAGCAGGGCCGACAGCAGCGAGGACTTTCCTGAACCCACGTGTCCCACCACCGCCACCAGAGAGCCTTCTGGGATGCACACGTTCAGCCTGCAGACGCAGATGGAGAAGCAACGCGGTTCACTTCCATTTACAGAAAGAATCTTTTTATACTAAAGTGCCGCGGACCCTGACAGTGGACGTCTACCTGTACAGAAGAACGCAGTAATGGAACAAAAGACCATTCTAGTCGGGCTACGTGGGTCTGACGTTACACAGGAGTGTAATAAATATATCACCACATGGTCAGCTATGAAGCGATGTCATCATGGACGAGAGGAATTTGTTGGTGTTCATTTAAAACATTCCGAGTAGTGTTTAAATAATTAAGTAGTGTGGCCAAGCTGGTGTTCACAGACCAACCTCTTGAGCGTCGGCGACTCGGCTCTGGACCAGCTGAAGACGCCGTCCACTATGGAGACACTGTGTGAGGCTGGGGCGAGGGAGGGCAGGTATATTAGTACACACACACACACACACACACACACAGGAATGTAGCGCAGGGGGGGCGAGGAGATCAGAACTCACTGCCGACTGCTGCTTTGTGATCGACGCCGTCTTCCTGCAGCTCCGCGTGAGAGAGAAACACCCTCAGCCGCTTCAAGGACACGCTGGCCTGGAGGAGACACGGGGGGAGACACGCTCACACCTACAGGTGTAATGGACCACAACCATTGTGGGACCGGGCCGACCCGTGTGCGTGTGAAGGTACGTAAAGATAGCGAGATGAGACCCAGCAGGGGCGGCGATGGGGGCAGCAGTAGGTTCTCTGTTCGCTGATGCAAGCGCACGTGTCTCATGCCAACGTTCCACCTTTAAAGTTGCCTTTGTACCGGACAGTAAACTATTTCTTTCTTGGGCTATAAAAAGCCAACAGCTTAATTTACTCAATATGAATATGAACTATTATAATAACTGGAAAAATGCATTTTATGCAGAAAATGCTGAAAGCTAAAAGGTGAAATGATTTTGATTTCTGAAAATACACAAATGAATATCAAAAACAAAAGCTGAAATTAACTTAAAATAAATGTATTTTCTGTAGTAAAATTATTAGTATTAGTTGCGAAAATGAAAAAAAAGGTTCAGTTATGTGACTTGTGGGCGAATGAATTGTGGTACTGGCAGTAGATGTAATAGTGGTTTTAGTATCAATAGCAGTGTAATAGTACTTTTCATTATCAGCTGTAGTACTAATAGTAATACTATTAGTCATTGTAGTGAAATGAGTAGTAGGTGTGGTATCAGCAGTATAAGTACTGGTAGTACATTTTGTTATAGTAGTATAATATAGTAGTATAATAATAATATAAAAGTAATAATATTTGACCAGGATATGACCTTCAACTCTCATATAAAGAAGACTTCAAGGACTGCCTATTTCCATCTACGTAACATATCAAAAATCAGGAACTTCCTGTCTCAAAGTGATGCAGAAACATTAGTTCATGCGTTTGTCACTTCCAGACTGGACTACTGTAATTCTTTGTTATCAGGCTGCTCTTGTAAATCTCTTAAGCCTCTCCAGTTGATTCAGAATGCTGCAGCACGTGTATTAACAAGAACTAAGAAAAGGGATCATATCACTCCTGTATTAACTTCTCTGCACTGGCTCCCTGTTAAATCAAGAATAGATTTTAAGGTACTTCTCCTCACCTACAAGGACCTTGCTGGTGAGGCACAAGGCAACTGCGCTCCATAGATGCTGGTTACTTGTTGTTCCTATGGTTTTAAAAAGTAGGCTGGGGGCCAGAGCCTTCAGTTATCAAGCTCCTCTTTTGTGGAACCAGGTTCCACTTTCAGTCCGGGGGGCAGATTCGGTCAGCTCTTTTAAAGTAAAACTTAAAACGTTCCTCTTTGATTGTGCCTATAGTTAGGGCTGGCTCAGGTTAGTCCGGACCAGCCCTTAGTTAAGCTGCTGTAGGCTTAGACTGCCGGGGGACTTCTTAGGACACACCGAGCTCCTCTCTCACGCTCTCGTTCTACCATAATTCAAGTTTTATTAATGCACATGACGAATTCAGCTTCTTTCCGGGAGTTTTTTGTGCTTTCTCCCCTATCAGGTCTCCGTAGATCGTGGTTCCTTCGGGACCCTGGTCCTGACACCTACCGTGGCCATGCTGACGCTTGCTGCTGCCATCATCATCATCATCATCATTATTTTAGATATTAATCATATTACTGTACTGGTATGTATGGTAGTAGTTGTAGTACTACTAGTTGTACTAGTGATAGTAGTAGTAGTATTTGGAAGAGCAATAATTCAATGAAACATTGATTATGATTATCCTGAGCTTCATGGTTAAGGTACTGATAATCGCTGAGGCTTTTATTTTGAAATGATAGAACTGGGTGAGGGGGGGTCGGGAGACAGAATGTTTGTCCTTCAAACGAACAAGTTATTAATCGATGGGCCTCGTCACAAACATCACAGTAACAAGTTACTTGCTTTGGTGCTGCGGTTGAACGAGGCCTCTGTTATCTACGTAACATGAATCCGTCCATCTCTGCAGAGGTGAGGTGGAGGCTTTTATTTTGGTAGATCCCAGCTCACTAACCTGCACCATGCTACTGATGACCATGGGCAGCATGTTGAGAGGGAAACGCAGGATGTTGAAGAGGGCCAGTGACACGAAGGCCTTCTGGGCATCGAGCACGTTGTGCTCGTCAATCAGCACGTACACAGCGAAGGTCGACAGGGCGACCTGTGCACATACAAAGGGAGGCAGAAGAGCTTCATTAGAATATGTTCAAGTCCACTCACTTTTTATTTGCAGATAATTAGATGAGCAAGTCAATCTGCTGTCATGTATAGATTCTGTACGTTGTCTCATACCGGTTATTGATGGACAAATATATGTGTGTGTTTTTGGGCACCTTTAAACATCGTTTTATTCATTCTATAGCACTTGGTCATCTTAAGCGTGTTTAAATGTGGTGGGTGAATGTACTTAACTTGCACTACAATGGGAATAATTATTTAATGACTAAGCTTTAAGTCAACTTGGAGGAGTGTGTGTGTGGCGTTTGTTGTGAGCAGCGTAAAACAAGTTGACATTCAAACAAATCCTGTTTTCTGATTCATTTATATAAATTATCGGGTTTGAGGAGCAACCTGGTTGTGCCCTTTCGCAGTTTTTTTGCACCATAAATTTGCACGGCCAGTTGTGTTTAGGATTAAAGGGTCGGAAATGACTGTTTTTTTAAATGCTATTTTTTCAACCAATCAATTCGCAGCCCTAAACCAGACAATGTTGATATGTGTGATCTTGTGATCAGTGCCGTGGTCCAGTCGGTGCAGTCCGACCCACCAGGAACGGGGCACAGATCCAGGTGAAGGTCGACACGGCGCCCAGGTAGGCGGCCTTCTTCAGAACCTGCAGCTCGCTCTCTCTGATCTTGGAGACCTTGTCCTTGAAGGCCAGCTCCCAGGCGTACAGCTTCAGCACCTTGATGCCATTCAGCATCTCATTCATCAGCTTGATGCGGCTGTCTTTGCTCTTCATCTGAGCAACCTGACCGACAGAACAAAGATATCAAGGAACAAACTCAAATCAGACAGCAGCTTGACTGGGATCCTCAGCACGCTGGTTGAGTAGAAGCTGTGCGCTCCACTGGACTGAATGAAAATAACAGCAGCTCAGTAGGATATCCCCCCGAGTAATATTACGGGGAAGTTATCCCGAAGTACTGTATGGCTGTAAAAGGAACGGCTTGAGTGGCAGCGTGTGTGTGTGCGTCCTACCTGGTAGGTTTTGGTCTTCATGGCGATGACAGCATTGATGGGAACCATGAGAACCATCACAGCCACTCCAGCCAGCACGGACGGACCCAGGTTCTGCACAGCAGCAGATGACAAAGAGGGTTACTGCCTCCTGTTGCCATGTTGTTCTGTCCAAACACCTTCGTTTCAACCAAGAACACAAGAAGAAGCAGAAAGCACTACGACAGGCTTCACTGGAGCGCCTGTTCGCCGTGCGTCGGCTCCACCGATGTGGTGCCGGTTACCTCATGAAACAGCTGCAGAGTAAGAACATGACGTTTTAACAGTAAAAAAAACTGCCAGAAGAAAACTGGTGATGAAACCAACATGAAGAGGAGACAAAGTAAAAGAAAAGACTGTTCAGTGAAAAGTGGAGGTCCAGTCGAGAACGTCTGGTTTGGGATCCAGCAAAGACAATGATGTAATGTACTGATTGTAGGACGCACGACAGGGAGAAGTTAAGGAGGCCTCTGTAGTTGGGACAAGCAATTTCACAGTGGAAACCATAAAGCATCAACATACCCGTGCACCAGCTGCATGCAACGCGCTGCTCTTTTTGTCTTAGTCAGTTATGTGTTCATACCGAAGAGCTTACGTACCTGGTTGTACAAGTGCAGGTGACTGGACATAGACATTTATGTAGTCTTGATTTGGATGTTTACAGCGGTCATTTACATTTACATGGATTATAAATCAAGTAAATTGAAGCAAACCGCGGTCAACGTTACATAAAGTAAGCAGCTGTCTGAGTGGCTGGTACCTTTGGAAAGCCTCAGTGGCTGGTGAGCAGAAACGTTAGTGTGGAGCCCTGCTCGTACGAGCAAGCTCCACGTAGCCAGATGCTTTTTGTTCAGTCGGGTGTCCCACCCCACGCGGGTCTGAAGTACGCCTACCTGCCAGAGGAAGTAGAGCGCCAGCACCACCTGCAGAGGGGCGGACCAGATCATGTTGATGTAAGTGATGAGGTCCATGAAGCGCTGAGCGTCCACCGACATCAGGTTGACGATCTCTCCCACCGTGGAGGTGCGGCGCGCCTCGCTGCTTATCACCAAGGCCTGAAGGAGCAGAGTCAAACCGCAGATTCAACGGCAAAGCCTGACCGGGGAACCGATGGAGCACGAACAGAGCTGAAAGAGCTTTAGATTGTACTAAAGATATCACAATGGATCCATGCAAAAAGTTACTTAAAGCCTTAAACACGTCCTTGTTTGCTAAATAGTTCATACCATTTAAAATATTCTTTACCGTATTGCTAAGTTCTACATAAAAGCATTCCAAAGCTGCCGTACCTTCCTGTAGACGGCTCCTATAATGGCAGTGCGCAGACGCATGCCCGAGACGAAGCAGACGTGGAAGTACTTCTGGAGGATGAGCGACTGCACACAGGTACATATGAAGAGCAGCGCCGTGTAGAAGTACCCGTGCCAGGAGGGGGCGCTGGAGTTGTTGACAAAGCGGATCAGCAGCCTGGCCGGGAAGGAGCGAGGAGGAGGATTAGTGGCGTGGCAGCGCCGGCTCATAATGAAATCCCCAACACAACGTTGATCTTCACGGGCCTTTCAGACCTCAGCGAGGGAAAACAATCGTGTCCCCGTCCATTCGGAGCGCTGCACTCGGGCATCGGCCGCTCCCAACATACTGCGCACGGCTTCACTAGACAACCACAGCGAAAATAACCAGCCAGCACATGAATCATGAACGCCCTAACATTTGACCTTTTGAATGCGCATTACAAGCAATCCCAGTGCTTCCAGCGCCGGGTTCTACAGGTCGGGTTGGGGTCGTTCAGCCAATCGTCACTCGTGGGCGCCATTGTTGGCTCTAGCCAGTGTGGCGTCTGAGGGCGGAGGCAGCGGCCACTTTCTTCCACGCGGGTCTAATCGGATCCAATAGGATCAGAGAGGCGTGATTGGACAAACCGCAGCTGGACTTACTTGTGGTCCAGATTGTGACCGTGGGTCCGGCGCAAAAGCCTCCTGTGGAGTAGTTCTCAGTGCCCTATAACGTGGAACCTTCCCTTATGACGTAGGTCATTTATTTCTTCAACAGTAACAAAGTGATTTGTCACATAGTGGGGAAAGTATTTGATACACTGCTGATCATGCAGGTTTTACCACTATCAGCATTTCTCCGTGGGTACTTGTGGTGGCGGGCGTAGTTTGGCTCAGCTGCACAGGGGACGGAGCCAGGTGGAGGCATAATTGGCCTCAGGTGGAGGTAATGACTGTGTGTGTGTGTGTGTTTGTCCTTAAGTAGGAGAGATCCGGGGACTCAGCCAGGCTCTCGTGGTGCACAATGACTTGATTTGGAGGTCCGGCCTTTGCCTGCTCTAAACATTTATATTTAACCCATTTAATGCAGGTTTGAGTATCAGTTTCTTCTTCAATTCATATGAAGCAGACGGCTACGAGGCCACGTCATTAACAGTTTGTACACATCTGATAAAGCGTCTCTCACCGGAGGATCTCGGGCCCAACGAACATGAGGATGTCCTGGATGATCTTGTAGAGGCAGGAGATGAGGAAGTAGGGCCCAAACGTGAGGCACAGAGCCCAGAAGAGGGAGGGCTCCTTTGCTTTCTGGGCCTTTACAATTAGCACCTCCGACTCCACAGCGCGGCCCTCCTTGCCCTCACTGGGCGGAGCTTCTCTGGGGGAGTACAGCGTTCTCTGCTCCGTCCTGGAAGGACAAATTGGATAAATGGCAGACTGCTTTAATAATATAGTTTGTCTGCTATTTTTCTCCATTCACTCCAAGACGAGATCTCCACACAAGATGACGTGATTGTGAGAATAATTGATAAGTGGTGTTTTATTCATAGTAAGTGGACTGAGATCTAACCGGAGTAACAATGCCTGTATTTTTCTTTGAAGCAGTTCCTGACCTTTTGACCTTTTGGCACTCTACATTCCAGCGGCCCACCAGCTCTGGGACCACTTTGTGGGAGCGGTCCGCAGAGTTCAGGGACCACAGGTCCTTTTCCTCCAGAGGACGCCTGTAGCCCGTCACCATCAGCCTGCAGGAGACAAGAGGAGCATTTAAACATGACAGGCCTCTGCTGGGCTACGAGCAGACCCCCTGGACAACAAGACACCGCTCCATCAGCTCCATCAGCTCCATCAGCTCCAAGCGCGAGGGCGACCTGCAGAACAAGGTTCCAGTCTATGCGAAAGCATCGAACGGGTGTTTCCCTAGAGGAGACCACCTTCCAGCGTGAGGGGAAAAGACACCCATGGTTACACCTTCAGGATCGGATCTCCTGTCAGTTTTACCGTTGAACCATAAACAACAACAGCCAGAGAAAATCATTCAATCAAATCATCACTATCATGACCTGATTGGTGACTTATCTTTTAAGACTGTGGTCAGTATTTCCTTAAGGAATGTAATCATTCCCTGTCCCCCTTTGGCTCTTCCCAACAATCTCATCTGAAAACTGCTGAGTGGACAGCGCAGCGACTGGCTCTAAAGTCTCTGTTGTCTTTGTCGTCACGCCACTCGGACGTCGAGTGTTTGCCTACCTGGTGATCCACCAGAAGGTTATTCGGGAGAGGAAATTGGCTCCACGCTCAGGGCAGGGGTTCTACAGACACAGATGTGCATGATCATCATCACCCGGATTTTAAACAACCGGTAAGTCAAGACACAAAACACAGATTTACATTCAATTTGACTGCATCACCAGTCAACTCCGACTAAGCATCCACACAAGCACGTGGAGACGTAGAGCGGGTGGGGCTGTAGGGAGGTTCCAACCATCTGCGCTCAGAAGCAAGGAGATGTGTGGACCTCTTGCTTCCACACACACACCTCGATGTAATCTCACCGAGTCTTTGACGGCTTCGGAGAAGAGCGGCAGCTGGTCCGTCAGGCAGGACAGGCACAGAGAAACCAGCAGCAGAGCGTAGTAGGTGTAGAAGGTGGTGTACCTCCACACAGACACAGTCAACGGCTGAAATAGAAACAAATCAGCCGTTGATCCTTACACACTAAACCCGTTACGTCCCTTTGGAACGGAGTCTAGACTGACCTGGTCCAGGGCCCGGGAGATCTTGGACCCGAAGGTGACTGTGGCACACAGCAGCGCCAGCAGCCAGTAGAGCAGCATCACGCCGGAGGACTGGACCCCTTTCATCCGCTCGTACTGGATTAACAAGGTGGCCAGCAGCTGCAGAACAACACACCACTGGATTTACTTTGCAGGGACTGTGCACACCGACCCACGGCGTACTGCGAGTCCATCCGCTGTCCTAAGGCAGCCGGAAATAAAGCCCATAGGCAGGGGGCCAACGTGGAGACAAAACCCATACACAGCAAAAGAAAAGTGTACGACAAACGACCAGAGCAGACAAACAGGCTGCAATGCGTCAGGCAGAACACACACACACACACATATATATATATATATCTATTCCACTGAAGCGCACAACATACTGAACCCTGCCGGTTGTGCGTGTTTGTGTGGTGGCACAGCGTTCCACCAGCGAGCCGCCTTCACAGAGAATGTGGATTTGCTGGACGAGCTCGTTGAAATGACACAATCACCTCTTTGCTTAATACAGTAAGTAAGTGGAGGCCGTTCTAAAAACCAGACACGCATCAGTATGTTTACTGAGATTCTGCCTTGTGGTGAGAAGGTTGCAGTGATGGTGACTTAAGGTCCTGATTAATTCACTGTCAAGTTTTAACTTGTGATTAACTATCAAAAGCTTCACTTTCTCTGAGAGGAGGCGGTTTCAACCAAACTGTAGTTTGGTGAAAGTGGAGAGCTGATGAGATGTTTAATAAGTTGCTCTGCAACACATTTCTCAGCCACTTGGGAAACAGCAGGAAGAACGATAACTAGAGACGTCAGTTGCTTCTTTAGATTATCCCATATTCTTATAGAATTGCCTCATCAACCATTGTAATGTATGGACCAGTCTGGATAAGTGAGCAATGGACTGTAACCCTTTAGACCGTCCCGCTGCATCCAGCTGAATTCCTCTGGGAGGTCAAACAAAGAACTGTGTCCTGTAACGTCCTGTAAAACACATTGTTCTGCTCTGCTGTATGCAAATAAGCCACACTAATATTTAGATACCTTATTATATACACCATACACATGAAACGCAACCAAAACAACATCTGCACTGAAATATTCAAGAAAATACATAAACGCGGTCTACTGAAAAAAAGAAACACGCCCAATACGTCGGATCCCAAACACCACAAGTATGATGAGTCCAAACGGCGCTTTGCTCCACCTCAGGCTGAGGGTGGAGCAAAGACAAAGTCTCACCATGGTGAAGCCCAGCATGGTGGGACTGATGAGGTGGACAGGTGCCAGGACATTGCTGCCATAACTTCTTTCCCAGAAAGAAAAGAAAACATCTGCCCAGCAGATGATCCACAGGAGAAGACCAACAGCCTGTGGAGAGAAGAACATCATGTGACCCTGTGACCTTTAACCGCATCCTAAGTCATTATTGGGACCAGAGGTCTCCTTCAGCCCGGTTTCTCTACACACATGAGAAAGAACGAGGGCCGACTCACAGAAGAAAAAGGACATATCAACTAAAACAGAAGTGAATATGGGGTCACCGTTGGAAAGGTTCAGCTAGGACAGAACGGCACAAACATTAACTGGATGAAGGAACATCTACGTTGAAGGTCCTCAGTTTCTGCCTGACTAAATTTCAGATGGCACATATGTTAAAATTTAAATTCTTCAACCTCCGTGTTGGGCCTAAAAACGGCATTAGTGGATAAAAGCAATAAGGGGCCTTTATGGGTGCCCACTCTTCTACTGCGGTCGATCCGTTACGCTACAAGTACCGACGTGCAAAGACCGATCCCTGGTGTAGAACCCCGCTCAGCGTGGGGCATCACTCACTCACAGTTTTGGCTCGGTTGATGTGACTCATACGTATGTAGCCGTGGTCGTGGCTACGGAGGTAGAGGAGGTAGAGGGGGGCGCATATCCAGAGGTAAAGGCATGGCAGCCACACCAGCACGGTGTTCTGGAAGCACTGCGTGAAGTCCGGCTTGGTCGTGTACCACGTACGGTTCCAATCCTGGGAGAGGAAAGGACAACACGCACGTACATACATGATGTCACAAGTCATGAAGTCGTTCTGTGGCAGGAACAAGCGGCGTCGGTGGGAGAAACAACGCTTCTCTGGATGAGGACGGACGGCAGTGTTGCGTTTGGGCCACTAGGAGCAGAGGGACACTGCGGATACATAACATGGTTACAACAGCTGGAGACACGCGAGGGGCCCTTCAGGTCCTCACGTCACAATCTCTGGTAAGACCGGATCCATTGACCCCCAATAGGCTCACACACACACACCACAGCGCTGTGTCGACGGGGACAACTTGGGGACCACACGGGGACCACACAGACAGAACATGGGGACAACACGTGGACAACGTGAAGACATCACAGGGACAACAAGTGGACAACACACGGAAAACATGGAGACCAGCCGTGGACATTATGAGGACAACACGGAGACCGGTAACGTTACGAGGACAGCGGCGTTGCTCGCTCGTTGCCTCCGGCAGGGAAACAGCTGTGTGAGCCGGTGGCCGGACCGAGCCGGACCGAGCCGTGACACAAAGGACAAAGCCCAAACCAGCTCACCCAGAACGGATCGGAAGTGTCCGCGCTGCAGAAGCCGTGAAGCCCCATCCGCGCGCCGCAGGAGGATCCGAGCCGCGCCGCTTGCGAGCGTTATGGAAGCAAAGCTTTCGTTTTGTAACCCGGAGTCAAAGCGGAAGGTTGCGGCTTCGTCTTCTTCGTTGGTTGTGGACAAACCACGTGATAGGGACACAGCGCCACACAGCAGCGCGGCTCCACGTGTCCTTCTTTTTGCGTCCATATTCTTCATACATACAATACGTTTTAAAACGTCATCATTTAAAAATAGGGAAATATAATGGAATGTAACGCAGCAAGGCTCTTTGAAACATCTGTTCTTCTGTAAATGCATTTCTGTGAGCGAATGTATTTGTGTCTTCATTATGCAAACAAAAAAACTCTTGAGAGCAAATTTCTTTACTTCTCCTTTGTAGCAAACTTTGAATGGAGGCTTTTAAAAAATGTATGTTCGTTTTTCTCTTTTTAAAAAAGGTTTGACGGGTGCTGTTTGTAATTTAGCTTCACCTGGATGTGTTTATGTATTAAACATATGCAGGTTCGTAATGTCTTGATGCATCAATAAATGTCCAGAGTGTCATTTCTTCAATGGTATAAATGGTAATTACAGATGATGAATGGCACACATGTTTAAGTCTAACCTGAAGAGAATTTAGCCAGAAGCTATGACACATTTTACAACACCTATAAATATCTAAGTATGAAAAGAAGTTTTCCCTCTGCTGTAAAGCTTTTTGGCTCACATGTTCTGTCATGGCCCTGATAATGATTCCTTATTGTAAGGAGTGAGATCTTTTACATCTTTAAGTGCTAAACTGTTGGAAATAAAGATATGATAAATATATTCAGACGCTTCCCTTCAAGACAGGGTCATAAATATGTAGAGCATTTAACAGTTACAGAGCGTAATATAAATCTTTTACCAGTTTGTCAGGGAGTGAACATTCAGACATGAAGCTGGTGAAGCATGTCAATAGTTTCTAAAAGAGCTTTTTTTTTAAAGTCATCTTTAGCTGCGGTTACCATGGAAACCGTCAATGCATCTCTAAGTCTCAGTGAGGAAAAGAGACCTGATCAGCTGCAGCTCCATCGACACAGAAAAACAGTAAGAGCACTTTATTCCCCAATTTCCTTTCCACAAATGTTTTCTCTGGACTTTACGCTTATATCAGGGTTGGATTTATCATCTCTTTTAACTTGCACACACATTTTTTATAGATAAATAAATATCAAAAAACTCTTTCAGAGTTGTCTATGTCTGACTTGACTCTTCCCCAGTTTGATCACATTTTGAACATGTGTTGAAATATACAAATGAGGCCTTCTCTTACCAAGTATGTGCTAAATATGATTCATTGAGTTTAATCTAAACTCCCCTTTTTCTTATTACATATTTTGTGTGAGAGTGGATGCGGCACTGGAGGGAGTGAGGACCTTGTCCTAGAGCTTGTCCCCCCTCTTTTCCCCTTCTTAGCCCGCTGCAGCCTACGGCCCCAATACAATTGAATTTGTTTATTAAAACCTTTCGTTTTCCTTTGACGACATTCCCAGAGCTGACGGCAATTGTTACCTTTTTGATATTTTAAGAAACTCAAATATTGTACTGTAGGGGAAGTTTGCTTTGTCTGTTTACACTGGTCATCTGTGGGTCCGTGGTGGATTAATTATGTTTATATTTTACTCCTACGTCTGACGATCACATCGCCGCTGCGTGGTGACGGCAAGCGTGTTGCGTCACTTCCTGTTGCCAGCGTGTCTGATGTCATCGAACTTTTCACAGCTCTAGCTATACTGAGTTGACTAGCGTGATATTTTTCATCACAAACAGTGAATTCTTATCTATGTGAGGCGCTGTTAAACGCCTCACCGTCTAGCAAATTTTCGCTCCATCGAATAGTTGCTTGGACGTTGTTTAGCGTCAACGTTACTTCTATTAGCGTTAGCATTAGCTTAGCAGCTAACCTGGTGATGTCTTCCCTCCCTGCCTCTCCTGCTCTTTCTTGCTCGGTGTGTCACATGTTTAGCTATTCCTCTGCCTCCCTTACGGATAATGGTACATGTAAGAAGTGTAGTATATTTGATAAATTGGAGGCGAGGCTTAGTGAGCTAGAAGCACGGCTCCGCACCATGGAAGCTCAGTCGTTAGCCGCTGTAGTTACCCCGCCCACCCCCGTAGCCGGTGCGGGCCACATAGACGTAGCGTTCGCTCCTGCTAGCCGTCCCCCGGCAACCCCCGAGCAGCCGGGAGGCTGGGTGACTGTCCGGAGCATGAGTCTAAGTGGAAGCACACGGTTAACCACCAACCACTTCACGTTTCAAACCGCTTCTCCCCACTCAGCGACACACCCGCTGAGAAGCCACCTCTGGTGATCGGTAGCTCCATTCTGAGGAACGTGAAGAGAAACCAGGGACCATAGTTACGTGTATACCGGGAGCCAGAGCGGGCGACATTGAGTCTTATCTTAAACTGCTGGCTAAGGATAAACGTAAATACAGTAAGATTGTAATACATGTCGGCGGTAATGACTCCCGATTACGTTGCTCGGAGGTCACTAAAGTTAATGTGGAATCGGTGTGTACATACGCTAAAACAATGTCGGACACCGTAGTTTTCTCTGGCCCCCTCCCAAACTTGACAAGTGACGTCATGTACAGCCGCATGTCGTCATTCCGCCGCTGGTTGTCGAGGTGGTGCCCAGTAAATAATGTGGGCTTCGTTGATCACTGGAAGACGTTTTGGGGAGAGCCTGGTCTGATTAGGAGGGACGGCATCCATCCCACTTTGGACGGAGCTGAACTTCTTTCTAAGAACCTGACCCAGTTTCTTAGTGGACTTAATCCATGACCCAGAGTTCAGACCAGGGAGCAGAGTCGCAGTCTTACACACTTCTCTGCGCTTCAATCTGAGCAGTCACTCAGCATAATGAACCCTATAGAGACCTTGTCTGCCCCACGGACACACTTATCTAAGTTAAAGGTAAACAACCCAGGAGTTGTAGTAAATAACTTAATTAAAGTTAAAACTAATAATGCAATAGTGCAACAAAATAGGAGAATTAAAGGGGGTCTTTTGAATATCAGATCTCTGTCATCTAAAGCTGTTTTGGTAAATGAACTAATATCAGATCACCATGTTGATGTATTTTGTCTTACTGAAACGTGGTTGTTGAATGGGGAATATTTCTGTTTAAATGAAGCGACTCCTCCGAGTCATGTTAATACTCATATTCCCCGAGGCACAGGCCGAGGGGGGGGAGTGGCAGCTATTTATGACTCCTGCCTTTTAATAAACTTTAAACCTAAGGTGGATTATAACTCATTTGAAAGCCTGGTTTTCAGTCTTTCGCAAACCGACCTGGAAAATAATCCAGCCGGTTCTCTTTGTAATAGTGTACAGGGCCCCAGGTCCTTATTCAGAATTTCTTTCAGAATTTTCACAGTTCTTAACGAGTTTGGTCCTTAAAACGGACAAGGTAATTATTGTGGGTGACTTTAACATTCATGTGGATGTCGACAACGACAGCCTTAGTACTGCATTCCTTTCATTGTTAGATTCAATTGGTTTCTGTCAGTGTGTAAATAAACCAACTCACTGTTTTAACCACACTCTCGACTTGGTTCTTGTGTATGGGATTGAGATTGAACATTTAACAATTTTTCCACAGAACCCTCTCCTGTCGGACCATTGTCTGATAACCTTTGAATTTCTACTATCAGAACCACCTCCTCCTGCCAAAGGTTTCTACAGTCGACGCTTATCGGATACCGCTGTAGCCTTATTTAAAGAAGCCATTCCTTCTGCTCTAAGTTCAGTGCCCTGCCTCAAGATACAAGAAGACTCCTGTGAGAACCTCAGTCCGTCCCAGATGGATCATCTTGTTGATGCTGCTACAGGCTCTTTGAGAGTGGCGCTGGACGCTATTGCTCCTCTGGAAAGAAGAATAGCAACAAGAAGGAAGTCTGCTCCGTGGTATAACCCTCAAACATGGAACCTAAAGCAAACTGTGCGGAAGCTTGAACGATTATGGCGTTCCACCAAATCAGAAGGATCTAGGCTAGTTTGGCAAGACAGCCTTAAAACGTATAAGAAGGCTCTCCGTAACGCAGGAGCATCTTATTACTCATCATTAATAGAGAAAAATAAAAACAACTCCAGGTTTCTCTTCAGCACTGTAGCCCGACTGACAGAGAGTCACAGCTCTGTCGAGCCGTGTATTCCTTTGGACCTCACTAGTAACGACTTCATGAACTTCTTCAATGATAAGATTCTGACTATCAAAGAGAAAATTGATGGTCTCCTGCCTTCAACCAGTGCCGACCTGTCCTCCGATGTAGGAACCTTGGATGCAGCAGTGGGCCCTGATGCCTGTTTGGATGCCTTCTCTTCCATCAACCTTGATCAACTGACTTCTTTATTTTCAAAGTCTAAATCTTCTACTTGTCTCTTGGATCCGATTCCGACCAAACTGCTTAAGGAAGTTTTTCCTTTAGTTATCACATCCTTATTAGATATTATGAATCTGTCTTTGTTGACAGGACATGTACCACAGTCCTTCAAGGTAGCTGTAATTAAACCTCTTCTTAAGAAACCTACTCTTGCTCCAGAGGTGTTGGCTAACTACAGACCTATCTCTAATCTTCCCTTCCTCTCTAAGATCCGTGAGAAATCTGTTGCAAATCAATTATGTGACTTTCTACAAAACAATGCTTTGTTCGAGGATTTCCAGTCAGGATTTTGAGTGCATCACAGTACAGAAACAGCACTGGTGAAAATTACGAATGATCTTCTACTTGCATCGGACCAAGGACTCATCTCTTTTCTTGTCTTGCTGGACCTCAGTGCCGCATTTGATACCATAGACCATTGTATCCTGTTGCAGAGACTAGAACATTTAATTGGTATCAAAGGAACTGCACTCAGCTGGTTTAAATCCTACCTATCGGACCGATCCCAGTTTGTGCTTGTAAACGGTGAATCCTCAAAGACCACCAATGTTGGTCACTGAGTCCCACAAGGTTCTGTACTTGGACCGATTTTATTTACCCTCTATATGCTTCCTTTGGGCGATCTTATCAGGAAACACCGCATAAACTTCCATTGTTATGCAGACGATACTCAACTGTATCTGTCGATCAAGCCAGAAGAGACGGACCAGTTAGTTAGACTTCAAGAATGTCTTGGAGACATCAAAACTTGGATGACCGGCAACTTCCTGATGCTAAACTCAGAAAAAACGGAAGTTATCCTGATAGGCCCAGAGCGCCTTCAAAGCCAGCTGTCGCGTGATACAGTTGTTATGGATGGAATTGCTCTGGTACCCAGCAGCACCGTCAGGAATCTGGGAGTTCTCTTCGACCAG